TTCTTGCTGGGTATAGTCATTGGGCCTGCAACATGTAATAACAGCGCCCTCATCGGCAATGCCCAGTCACCTACAACGCCACCTAGCCTGCCAGGTCGTTTGGAGACGGAGGGCACACAAGATCGTAATCACGGATGACTCGTAGGCGCTAAAACGACAAAAAATGGCCCTCGGCCATCCCGAAAAGCAAGGACAATTAATATTAAAGGCGGGAGCACTTTTCATCACACAAACCTCCAAAGGGATGTCAAACGTTTCCCATACAGAGGGGAGGATGTTATACTTGTGCAACAAACGTGCTTACAAATAGTCTATCTCTAGGACCTTGCAATATTAATCGCGTTATACAACCGTCCATCTCCAACAGCAAATCTATATTCTCATTTCTCCTGAATTTTCACAACCTTTTAGTGTTTTCAGATTCAATCGTCGTACATATTCTGGAAAAATCTCCACTGCTTGTGTAATCCGAATAATTATTCCTGAATCTTTTCCTTGTGTGGTAAGTAATTGAAAAATCTTGAACTTGGCAGATTGATGCGACTTCTCCAAGAACTTCAATGAATCAGAAACCCAAGAAAAGAGCAACCTATACAGCAAAGAAAGATGCCAAGTATATTACTAACATACGACAAAAACACGTCGACTGACAAAGTGAGTGAGAAAGATGTGTTGATTCACTTTTCTCGCAATTTAGTCAAAACGCAGAAACAAAAAATTACGAAACATGTGGAAAATAATCTGTCAAAGCTTATTCACTAAAAGCAGTCTTCCACGTTTTATTTCATTTCTACACGACGCTTAACTGATGTTGACATTACAAAACAAAAAGGAAATTAGGTGTATAATTACATGTATACAAGAAGTCAGTATAAAACTTAATAAAACCCCATTGAAACAAGCCACGTTATGCAGGTTGTAATTTGGGGGAGCTTGAAGGTTAAGTTTTTTTCTTTTTTAGACTTTTTGGACATGTAAATGAAGTATATAAACATTTTTCCAAAAATGTGAATCTTCCAGGCTCATTCGTTTAATGCTATGAAACTATGTACAGTTCAAAGTTGGTGCTTTCATTTACACACTTAATATTTTTTACAGATCATGCTGCGCCTCGCAGCCTTCACATATTTAAAGTACATCGGAAAACGAAGTCACGGCAGCAGATGAGTCAAGTCCAGCGGTGACCTCATGGATCGATGTCATCGGCAAAGAGGCAGACGGAGGCAGGGTGTAGTCGAAGTAGAAAGGTCTGGCCGCGGGATAGATGTACCCATAAGGGTAACTGGATGGTGCTGCCTGGAAGGCACTCAACGCTGTCCACGGGTAGTAGCCACGGGAAGCCCCGTTGAGGTATTGGGCACCAGACTGGATGAGATGTCCGCCGGAGTGAGTCGAGGGAACGTAGCAAGACTGAGCGCAGGCGCCTAGGTACCGAGATGGCGACACGTGCGAGGAGTGACCCACAGCCTTGGAAGTGGCTGGCGGGGACACCGAGCCGGAGGAGCTCTGAAGACTCGAAGAGGTTGACGGCCTGCTGCTAGAATTCTTGGCGGTTTTGACTGGTCTGATCGGGGTGACGGAGGCTTTCGTTGAGGCCGATTCCGGGGACGAAGCACTGCCTTGGGAATCGCGTTCTTTTCGGCGAAGTCTAGCTCTTCGGTTCTGAAACCAAACCTGATAAAGACAAAATAGGATTATGAATAACACGTACCAACCAACAAAGAAAAGAAAACAAAAAATTTTAGAAGTTGACTTTTTATAGGTGAAAGCTTGGCAGCATTCATCTTCTCTTTCTAACAACGCTTTTTTTAAACAGCAAACTGCATTTCTTAGCGTTTGACATAAATAATTGCCACTTCTCTTTTAAGTCATACCTTCACAATCAAACAAGGGCTTGTCAAAAAATGAAGTGACTGAGCTTGCAAAACAGGCACAGAAGTAAGAATTTGAAAGTCATGTGAAAATACCATAAACGTCCCTTGTTGTGGAATATTTTTCCTTGTAATTCTAATCACGAAACTTACTTGAACCCGCGCCTCAGAGAGATCCACAGAATCAGCAAGTCTCTCCCTCTCATCGATGCCCGGGTACTGTGTCTCTTCGAAGAGCGCTTCAAGTCCGCTAAGCTGCTCCGGAGTGTAATTGGTGCGGGCGCGGCGGCGACCACTGCCAGCGGGCCGCTTAGCCGAGCGAGTTGCAGACTGAGAATGGACGGTTGCAGCCTCTGCCGTGACTCGGTGAACCTGGTTGGTGATGGTAGTTGGGGTGATCGAAGGTGCACGAGCTAGAGTGGAGGGAACAAACATTTCAAATAGTTTTTGGATGATAATGATTAAATGTTGGAGTAAAAAGTAGTTAAAAACAATTCCATGGCAAAATACTATTCATCATCATTTCTAGCATGTGTCCGTATGTTTACCAGCTATAGCAATTAAGTGTTTAGAAAAGTTTTTGCCTTGCAGTTATATGGAAAGGCAAGCATGGAAAAAGGTAAATCAAAATGGTAGTTTAAGCATACAGACACTTTTGTGTTCGTTTGTAGGTTTCATGCATATTCTTTTACACCCTGTACCGGTACTTTCTGTCATTCTGCAATTAAGTTCTTATTTAACGGTGTTATTTGTCGAAAAGAAATAACATAGATCACCGTGCTCAGTCCATAGTGTAGAAATCGTTGTGTCTATAAATGTTTGCAAAAGATAAGTTGCTTAATCCAAATAAAATATGCCATGTTTTTGGACACTTTAAGATAATGCCAAATTAACATCCAAACAGCAAGATGTTTGAGACAATTCATTAATGACAATGTGTGTTTGTATAACCTTCTCTTCCTACCTCCACGATTTGACCTAGCAATAGGATTAAATCGCCCCAGCAATAAAGGCACGATAATTTCTGTCAAGTTGGTTGCACACTTCAAAAAGAAGTATTTTCGTGACTACCCTAACCTTTATAGCGCGAGAAGTTGTAAGGACTATTCGATAATAAAACTGATTCTGCTTACTTGATTTGTCAAGGCCAAAAACTCTCTCGCTGGAATGGATTAGAGGAGCTATGGGCTCACCGGTCGTCTCTCCATGATGCTGCTGGGCTTTACTAACAACGTCCGGGCGGCCAGCCCCCTCAAGAAACACAGCGGAAGACATGGCTCACGGGCAAGCGAAGAAGAGGTGACTGGGACAAGACGAATTCTGGCTCTGAAGATGTTCTGCGAAAGTATCACTCACTCTGACGTAGTAGGAGAATCGAATGAAGCAAGATCCAGCTTGCCCGCTCGGTCTTATATACGTGCGGCTATTATGGCCGGCAGGCTTTGACACAGGTTGCAGCCCGCGGATATTGAACCTGCCGCGCTGCGGCCAGAGTGGTTGGACGATTGAATCGGTGTCGGCAAGATGAAGCGGGTGTCCAAGTGACGCACCGCCAATCGCCTGCCTGATTGGTCAGGTTAAAGACACTTCGGACATGTCAAAGGAATCAAAAGTGCCGCGGGTTGGCCCACAACAGGCTATTGGGACTTTGTGTCTATAGGCAGATGGCAGGGGGTGTGGGGGGTATATACCTTCCCACGCAATTAAGAAGTTTGGTCCGGTGAAGTAGGGAATGTAAAACTGCACGGTAGTCTGACACACTAAAAAAAGTGTTTAGCAACTGAACCCAATCTTGCTAACACTTTGTAAACATGCTTAGAAGCTCTTCCAAGTCCTAAACGTTCAATGGCAAACCACTATTCATCATTACTCTAAACCTGTGAAGCGAATCATTATGTTTCCGAACTAGCAATTAACTGTTTAGAAAAGTGCTTATTCTTTGAACACAGTTTTTGCTTTGCAGTATACGGAAACGCAAGAAGAGAAAAATGTGAAGCAAACGATTAGATAACGCTTAGAAATCACTCTTGTGTTAATCGCAGTTCTTCCATGTCTTTTACTTTCTGTTAACCTGCAATTCACTTCTTATATCATGTAGTTATTGAACTTCTTTTTGGAAATTTGAAGACTTAATTTTGATTTGTTGAAATTCTGTTCGTGTTGTTATCGTTTTGTTGAAATTCTTGTTGGTGTAACCCTCCCTGGCAATAACAGTGGCACTACAGAAACCGAACGGTTATTAAGCGTTTGTTTCAGAACCCCGTAATTGGGACAAGAAACAAAAGTTCGATAAAATCTTGATAAAAAAGATACATAAAATCTCTTCTCTCACTTGTCTCAATCTCTCATGTCTGTCCAGCATGCGTCCAGGCGTGCTTTCTGGGGCCGATCCAGGGCAGTGGTGACGCTAGGATTTTATTAGGGGGAGGGGGGGGTTACAAAGGGGGCACCAGCATCTAATGGGGGGGACCAGCTTTCAGTGGTGTGGTTTTGGGGGGGCAAGTTTTTTGTTAGCCATGTTTAATATCCACTCATCCGTGTTTTTTTTGGGGGGGAACCCCAAATTTGTGGGGGGGGGCACGTGCCCCCAGGCCCCCCGTGGTTACGCCACTGATACGGGCGGGGGCATGGGGGTATGCCCCCCGTTTTTACCAAAAATAAATCTCAATAAAAAGAAAGGAAAAAGAGGGAGGGAGAAGGTGTCACTCTACCTGACATTGTACCACAGAAGTGCCTAGAATCCAAAATGGCTCTGGATACCACGCCGTACAGGCATTTCACCATTACTGCTTTTGTTCACGCCCCCTACCTTTTGGAAAATGTGGAATCACGCCCCACCCTTTTTGAAAATCTTTGATCTGCCCCTGGCCTTATCTGTCGTGTCTGGCTGTCTCTGTCGAATTTGATATTGTATGAGTCATGATAAGCGCAAACAGCCTTAGTGCCATAAATAATTGTAGAGTGTAGGGTACTCATCTCCATTGTAACCTCCTAACCCAACACGACAGGAATCACATGGGTCAGTAATACTACCATACCGCCCTGCGTGTTTTCAAATAGCTTCCGTAAAAGTTTAGGACTTGCCTTTTTTATTTACTCTGTTCAGCTATACAGAACAGCCTATGGCATCAGTGCAAATGCTATCTTATTGAGATTTGTGGCGCTTGAAACAGCACTTTGCTATGAGATTTTAGCATCAATTATAGGCAAACAGTAAAATTTGAGATCGCTGAGTTTCATGTTGAATGTGACTAACACAAGATCTAGTGGCAATGTCGGTTTTCCCCAGGGGGCTACTCTCTATTGTTTTCTTTTTTTGTCGATTCATTTTGTTTTACTATCAGGTTTAATAGTTAGTTGGAGATATTCAGGGGAGATGGAAATGCCTTCAAAAGTTGAACGTGACTCATCATTTTTGATTTTCGAGGGGGTCCAAACATTTGGGGTGGGATATCATGATTTTAAGGGATGCAGGTGTTGAGTACATTGGAACAAGGGAGGGTTTGGTTTGGAAACGACTGTTCAGTTGTTTCATATATAACGATATGCACTTCTCTTCTAAAGAAGATTGGGGTGGGGCATGGGCCTTGACAGGAGGGGGATAGACAGTTAACCATGGAACTTCCGGGTCAAATTCTAAGGTATTTTCAAGCGAGGGGGTGATTCGTACCCTTTCCTTTTTTTCATTTCTTTAAAAAAAAATTCTTTTTATCTTTCCCTTTTTCGGGGAAAAGTGCCCACTTGTCCCGTTTCGACGCCAGTACGAAGAGGGACAATGCCCCCTCCCCCGCCTCCTTTGCCAGATACCCAACTTCGCATTGCCCTGTCGCCTGCCGATGGCATTGCTTGGAAATATTATCCGTATAATTTGTATCCGTATAATTGCCTTGTTCAATACGGCTAGTCACTATGACATGAGGCTACTCTATCGTCACTTTTTAACCTTTGAAATACTACATCAAGAAAAGAAAAATGGAAGTTGCTAAAAGAGGGTTTGTTCAAAACAGACATATTTGTCCTTTAATTTATGCAACCCTGAAAATGTTTTAGGTTTTCAACAGGAAATATTCCAAAAATAGCAATGTTTGCTCTGGAAAGTGCATCTTCACCCTTAAACAGTGTCGATACAAGGCCCTTAAAACCGGTGATAACTTTTCTTGTTCCCGTTTTAAAAGAACTCACCATTTTGCCGCTAGACCCCAGACCAACACGTGCCACCGTAATGATCGTTCACACCTTGAAACCACTAAGCTGACTTTCTCTGTGGACACGGCATCTACGAAAAAGGATTTAAAACTCTTCTCGGAGGATAAACTTTCTGGATGAGGTGTGAACAGTTATCACTTCTTCTGAAATATCGAGACTTGAGTTTAGAAAGGAGTGCGGGTAGGGGGTGATGATATCTTGGACGCGAGTGCAACTGTCATAGATAATATTTCCACAAACCCGAAGACTGTGGAAATTATGAAACGTGGGGAGGGGTATCCGAGAACTTAGGCCCCCCTGTAACGCCCTTGCACATGCGTGGTCACTAATGTGGAAGCCATGACCACTCCGACTTTACTCGTTTCATTTCATCATCACTTGAGATCACCATGATTTGACTAACTACGAACCGGCATGTGTGAAAGTTATGAACTCTGCCATTGCTGGATAAATTTCGTCTTCTCCCTGCAGCTATATTTGTGGAAGGCCCTTTAATTGGAAATCGTTGGCGAAGGTCATGCGATGTACAATGTTGCTGTCCTTAACTTTGTTATGAAAATAAAACCCCAGCACAGTCGCATTGAAACCGAAAGTGTTGTCTTTCCCGCCCACAGCCATTCCGTGACCTTTCACGGAATCAAATTCAAACACGATGAGAGTTATCTTGGGAGGTTTTGCTTGCCTTTTCTTTATGCGGGACCATGCTACTGGATCAACTAGGGGCAATACTCCGATTCAGAGAAAGTAAAACCTTACCACCTGTGAGGACAACATACAGTAAATCGTTAAGAAGTTTTACACTTGATATAAGTATATAGCGTATGAACGGGGATATGGTTTTTGAGCGCTGTGAGGCTTGCCACAGTTTTAGAGTAAGCCTCGCTCAGAAACTGAAGAGGAGAAAGAAGTCGAAAAAATGTTTTTCAGAAAAGAGGGTCCTTGGCTGAATGTGCCTAAGTTACTTTTATACAGTTAAATTTCCCATTCACTTATTTTTCTGCCCGTTTAAGCACAGTTTTGGCATTTTCTACCCAAGCTGTCAAAATATATAGGGTTACACTGGAACAAGAATCCTAGTGCAAAACCACGTATACTTTCCATCCGATAACGAGCACCGTGTTATGGGACAATTGCTTAATTTCTGAACAAGTCGGCACCATGACTTCGAAGTTTTGTAATAGAAAAACACACCTCTTGCAATTACTTCTGTCACCAATTCGTCAGAAACAAACAGCTGGGTATTAATGTTGAAATGTCTGAAAGTCCCCCAAGAGCATGACATACCCGCATTGTTACAAAGGCCATAACGAACATCCCATTTTAAAACCATTCCCGGCTAACAGGAATGAAGTTTCACTTCACCAATTTGTCTGAGGTTTATAGCATAATAAAAGTTTATAAGAAATCTCAAAGAGTAAGGATAAGGGAGCAACATGCGATATTTTTTGGCAATGTGACTAAGTTCGTTGACTCTTACGTCCGTCCAATTTTACTGATGCTGGGAACAGCATCGTTTTTGCCATACAAACGGTACAAAAGAAACGAAAGCACCGAAACCGGGTGTAACAAATAAAAAGGATACTCAGGGTGGCGGGTAAGCAATGGATCACCCTTCGGGGGGGGGGTTGCCACTTAGAACTTTCTAAGTCCCGCCATTAAAGTGAATATCAATCGACAGACGCCTCCGTCTTCGCTGAAGGCAGGCACGCGCACGCTCATTGTCCAGCCAGCTCATCAACAGCCATACTCTGATGCAGCTACTATTATTCTGGCTACAAAGTTTATCTGGCCGTGATCCGGCCAAATCCTTTGAAGTTTTACCGAAGGCGGGGTGGAAGTGACTTGATATTGCCGTATTTGCCGCACATAGTCCACTCTGGAAAACTGTAAACATGTATGTGAATTAGGGTAGGGCTACTTCGATGACCTGCAATGATATAGGCCCATAGCTTGTTTACGTGTTCTGTTTGTGATGTTATTATTAATTGTTTGGGATCGAAAGAAAGCAATTAACATTTCAATTTGGACTGCACAGTAGACGTTGTATTATGGAAACTGCCTCGCCTTATAACTGCAGTATACTAGAAATGAATGAGTTGTTTCTACAGCGACATGGACAGAGATTACTTCTTGTACTGAACTTGAAAAGTTTGTATAGTTACATGAATGAAGTTGCGACATGAGAACCTTCTTCAGGGCAAGCAGATTAAGTTCTGCAGGGCAAGCAGTTTCTAAACTGAATCTGCTTGCCCCGAAGAAGGTACTCGGTTACCGAAAGCTCGGCAATTACATGTTTCAGAGCACTGATTTTATTTTATAATATATTCTTGCCAATATTCTGATCACGATACTACGCAGTCCTTCCATGTTTCTATGAAGTTGCGGCAGTTGTTAACTTGAAAACAAACTCTTTACGAGCTCCTCTCCGGCAATATTTCTAAAAACTGTCTGCTCATACAGTTGGAGAAAATGGGCTTCGACTGGATTTAAAGAAATGTGTAACTTTCTGCAGTTTAATTCACTGACCAGTCCAATAGTCAGGTGTGTTTTGTAATTTCGTTTAACGTTTTGGGGGATTGATTTGAACATAATTTTTTGAGTATAGGTATGGTACATGAATTAAAATAAAAATGTTTCCATATGCCCTCGAAGTATGTGTGGCAGCAACTTTGGATAAAATGGTCATCAAAACAATTTTTCCCCTATATTTTTTGACCTCTCAACAACATAGGATCTCGATTTCAGTGACTACACTTTGTCAGTTCATGGTCATTGCCAACTTGGATCTATACGTTAGCGATAGTAACATGGAGGCCGTGGGTTTTTCTTAACATTGTGGCTTCTAAAATGACCCAGAAAGTTGATTTCAGTGGCTCAACCTATATTTCCAGTGGCAAAGTATTAAATGAGACATTCTTATTTTAAATATATACCCGTCGACATGCGGACGTCTTTGTTTATAGCGGCCATCCTGGAAATTTCCACAGTACAAAGGCCGTCACCACATAGAAAGGGTTCCCTATTGTCCGTGGCTTCCAGATGACCCACCTATTACGTCCGACCCTAAGATTGCCTCCAGAAATTTACCTTACATTATCACCTTATAATTCTTGCACCTATTAGTTTGAACAATGCAAGCGTGCATCATGCCAGTGTCTCCTGCGAAGAGCTGCTTTTATTCTAGATAGTGTCCACGAAGATACATTCTCTGCAAGTTCCTTACTTGCAACATAAACCAAAGACCGTTTGTTACATTGGGCACCCCTGCTCCGATCCACCATGTAACGTAACCTGTTATTTAGCAGAACTATCGAGGTCCTGATTCAACCTTCGGCTGTCCTTTTGTGCAACTAAAGACAACGACAGAAAACGCCCTTTCACCCCCCCGGAGAAAAAATGGTGTGTCATTAACATGATTTTATGAAAGAGTTCATGCGTGTATAGATGGGTGTCCAGACGTGGTCCGGGAACTTGCCCATATTAATGCGTGCATTAAAAAATACTGTAAGGAGAGGCTGTTAGTCTAGGTGAGCGACGTATGGCCGACTCGGCGGCCGGGGCTTTTAGGGGCTTGTCTCGTTTCCTCCCTTGCATCCTTTCTCATGCATGTGTAATGTTTTTAATGACGAATCTTTTATTTTATTCTAAAAATTATAATTATAGATGAAACTCTTTTTTCCCCCAAGTTATTTCCTTGTAGTAACTTGAGCAATTTCAGCTCCACGGCACGTTCAAGCCTGATGGAGGGGGACTTGAACAACCACTGGTTTGCCTGCAAAACTTTTGGCCAATTCAAATATTTTTGTAATGTGGTATTACTATTACAAGACAGGAGAGTGATGGGCTGCTTGCCCAATTTTTGAAACTCGAAGGTCTTATTGGTCCAGCATAGAGTCTGAGTTTCTAAACATGAGTATTGTACTGCGTCCCCCACCCGGTCAAGGGCAAACCCTGTGTGCGAATTTCGAACCTATAGTTGGCCAAACCTAACCCTAATCAACAGAAATCAACCCTGGTTTGCGGCCACAAGCGATTATTTCCAGCAGTTGAAAAAGTTAGAAATTCACAGACGTTAGCTTAATGGCCAAATTACACAGTTATGCAGGCTATCAGCCCTACTCAAGGTCATAGGCCCATAACCTGGATGAGAGACAACCGTTTCCAATTATTCACGTCAAACCGATCGTGGAACCTCCTTTTCCCTCTGTTTTACACGTTTTCAGGGAAATTGTAAAAACTTGGGTTCACTTAATAATGCAGGCCAGTAAATAGGCCGAAAACCGTTTGCGCGGGCCCATGATTTGTATGCACTCAAATTCTTTACGAAATACAAAATTTTGTGGCCCATGAACTTGAAGATTTGTAGAAAAAAAAATAGGTGGGCAAAGAGAATACCAACTTGCATCTGAGTGAGATAAGGAAGAACTTGGTGGCTGGAATGGTCTATTTTTCGAGAAGTGTAGGCATCGATATTTCAAAATAGCGAGGGGCTTCAAGACTCCATTTTAGGGGTGACCTTCCGTAGAAATAAATATCTTCAGAAGTCATCAGTTAATTAACGGAGATTTGAAAAGAAAATGAAAATCATAAACTGGGCTTTAATTTGACGTACGTGTCAAACGCCTGAGAAACTCGTGAGCATTTTTCCTGATTTTTTGAAGTTCGGGTATTTATCACTATTGCATAGCAGTTTACTTACTGTCCTGCAACCTGAAAACCAGAACCCTTTTTCTGCTTATGGGAGGAATGATTTGATCAACAAGCGAAAAGAACGTGTTATCTGACTTACTGCGTTTTATTAGCATTACAATTTCCAAGGCAAAGGCACCATGCGAAAGCTGTCGTCAACTGAAGTGCAGAGTGTGCATGAGTTGTGGGCTTTACTTAACTCAAATAATTAATTTTAAAGTAAACACACATCACAATTCACAAATTCATTACACCCTCATGGATGAAGAAACATTGCAGACATCAATTTCAGCATACAAACAGCAGGTAGGCGGGTTCATGTTTCTCACAACTTAATTGACATTGTCATACAGACATGTGGCGCACATCACAATTTAGCCATTAGGGACTATCCCTGTATTCGGAGAAGTCCCTTTTTTATTTGGGGACAAAACCAGTCTCCTGAAAGAGAAAACGCCTCCTCAAGTTAGAAGGAGACATTTTTTTCCAAGTGAGCTTAGGTAAAAATATCCACATGCTAATATCAATTTTTTCTCCCATATTTTTCGTTTAGTTCATTTAGCACCTAAATAAGTTGTTTCTGCAAACTTTGTGCCCATGGCACACTGCCATGTCACTTGATTAATTAACGTTAGGCCCATATCATCAACAACTGATTTTCAGAAAAATGTTTTGATATGGTCTTTTCGTCACCCTTAAGGTGCCTTTGCGGACTCCTGCTTGTAATCCTAGTAGAAGTAAATAGTAGATTTTTTTTAAACAGCAGCCTTGGGTGGTTTTTTTTGGCTGAATCAATTTAAGGCATTAAAGGATCCCCAGAGAAGTGGTAAGATCACCAAACCTGCTTAAAAAAATTGTCCCCGTGTAGAGCACATTCTCTCTTTATGGGGACTGATTTTGCCCTTGAATAAAGGGACTTCTCCAAATACAAGGACAATCTCCAAGTTGTGATGTGCATTTACTGCTAGCCATAACTCGGGCCTTGGTAACTCATGTTAGTGCAACACAAATTGTTCAGTGCAATATGTCAATATGTATTCCTCGTCATTAGCACTCTGTTCCTACAATAAAGGAAAAAGGTCTTTTTTTCCCAAATATTTGACATTAAGACCATGAGCATCCATTCCTTGATCCTAGTAGACCTGGCTCTAGTTTAGGTAAATGTTGACAATATATTTAAGCGAAAAAACCCACACAGTTTTTTTATGTGCGTTTGGCAAATGATAACTGCTTAGTTGGAGCATGCCGTTTTGTTTTAAGTCTGGTTACCTGACTCATTCGTCTTCATTCACAGCTCTTCGTCGCGTCACCTATGTTGTGGTTTTACCCCATAATTTCCCTCAAAAACCAAAGTCCCGGTCCTCTTCACAAACGCAATCTTTTCCATATGAAAGAGGACATTACCACCAACTTCTCGAGGTGATTTGTTTCTTAAAAGTAGGCTTTGGTTGTTATAGGAACAAGGTGCTACTGATAAGGAACACCAATACCTGTGTATCTCTGCATGTCATGAATGAATATGTTGTCATACTTGGTCGACATCCTTTCAGCTTCAGCAGGTGGAGACAGTACTGCTAAGTGCAGGAGCCGAGGGACAAACAGAGCTGCTTCAACTCCGAGAGGATTTGCAGCAGGTTATTCAACTGACCGAAGGTAAACTTACCTGAAGGAGTCCTGAAGGTGAATCAAGTGTACAAGTCAACATGTCATGGTCTCCTTTCACTGTCGGCGCTTCTCAAAAAGACATGTTTTTCTTTAAACTTGGAAACTTACCTCCTTGTAAATTATATGGTGACTTAGATCAGGAGTAAAACAAAGAATTGAGATGGCTTGAAGTACCCTGGTCTTGAATCCTGTTAGATTTGATTCTTTGAATGTTAAATCAAAGTTCTCAGTATTATGTGACCCAACGTGACTTTATCGTACATACGATTCTTAGCAACCACTGTTGACTGTTTTTTGAGTATGCGACCATAGGTTTGTATCCTTACTTTGCGCCCACGGTACTCTTGGATTCTGTGTCCCTTAGGTTGGAGACATTAGTTTGTGGCAGTGGTTAGATACAAAGTCATGTTCCACCCCTTTGCCAGTAGGTCCCTACGATTACTTGCATGCTTTGTCACCTTTTGCTCCTGGATAGAGAGCCTTCTGTCACTCAAGAAGAGCAAACTGCTGAGCCTCGTGGATGGCACGTCATCAGCCGAGACCAGCAGCTCATTCGTGAACCCTGCGTCTTCCTCAGGAGATGCACAGGTGCAGCAGGGGCACTCGTCAGCCTCAGGTTCCTCCTCGGGCAAGTTTGAGGAGGAATATGCTGCATTTCAGGTTTGAAATCTTGTGATGAATTCTTCAGTGTTAGTTATTTAACCTTTGATGCTTTGTCTCTCTTTCTTTGTTTTAAAACTTCCCTTTTTGTGCTTTTGTTTTGTTTAGTGAGGTAACTTGCTTTGGTTTTAGCTAAATATACAGGGTGTCCACACTAAAAGGTATAAAGAGATAAAATTACTGTAATGGCAAAACTACTTTATATATGGGATAGAGAAAAAACTTTAGAATATCCTCTTTACAATGGTGTGCAGCTTGTGATGTTATTGACACAGATGAGTAAACAAACTAAACCGATGTTAAGGGTGCTGAAATTGGCACTGTGACAAGTTTGCATATTTTATGAATAAGGCTCCACCGTGCAAATGTGCAGAATACCGAGTGCCTTTGCTTTAAGAACACTTTCTTGAAAACAAGGAATGTATCTAAATCAATCTAATCTACTTTGTTGTTGCTACTTAGGCGTGAGGTCAAAATACAAACGCTTTTGAAAGCGTTCAACGCTTTGTAAACGGTAAGCCTCACGGATGGTCAACATAGAACAGATGAATGCTTCAGCGAGGCTGGCCAAACCGTTGCGGTCGAGTACGTCGTGCACTCTGCAGCTTCCAGTAAACAATGGACAGTTCATCGCATTACGGCATCATAGACTTCTGCGGTCTGGTGGATGAGTCATAACAATAGCTCTTTACTTTGCAGCTCCACAGCAGGATTTAGATCGGCAGACTGTTTGAACTTCCTGATAAAACACGTGTATGGAGTAGTTGTGTTGCGCTGTCGGTTTCCAGACCCAGTCTTTTCAGGTCTCAATACCCAGTAATCTTAATATTTTGTCTCGGTATCGTGAGTTAAATACACACCTAACTGTATATCTGCAGAATCGAATATACTAACTCGAAATAGTATTTACCTGAATCATACACGACGTAGTGTTCCGTTCGCCAACATGTAGTTAGAGAAAAAACCTCTTTTTTTTTTGCCCGTGTGCACAAGCTGGGACTCAGGATTGCGCACTCGCAGGTTTTCATGTGTAGGATCGAGGAAGACACGTACGCGAACTACGCGCTTTCTACTTCGAGGCTGCACCAGCACGATTTAAGGATACAAGTACATGTTTTTTCTTGAAGTCAATAGTACATGCGTGCACGTTGCAATATGTTTTGTACGTACGATTGTTTTGTACTCTTTGAATGCTTTGTGGCTGCACAAAATTCTTGTTGGAAAAACAAACATGTCGGGTTTTATACTTATCTCTGGTGTTTGACTTTACCTATGAAACTTAAATGCACAGTAAATTAAAACAATAAACACAATTTAATCTAGTGCTGCTGGCGAACCACCGAACCGAGGCAAAAAAACATCAAACAAGGCACTTTTGAACTGAACCAAACTGTTCGGTTCGGATGTACGGCTTTAATAAGGCATTATATTGATGGCACGCGGAAAAACATACAAAAATACAAGAAACTTAATAAAAAACACAACGAAAAATAGATAACGAGTTGTACGGCGTGCTCCACACGTGCGTGAATATACTGAAACTTACAATGGCCCGCATCATGAGATGGTTGTAAAAAGCATGTGGTGAGAATCACTCAGAAATCAACCAAGAACATGCGACGTGCGGCGTTGTCGCTGCATGACATTTCTAAATTCTCACTACATCCAATCGTGCTTATGTATATTCAGATTTATTATTTTATTTGCCAATCTCCGATAGCCATGCCCTTACGTTCCATATTAAGTAATGACATTCCATATTAGGCCAATGGTCTCATAAATGGAGTGCAAAACGAATTTTGGTTGGATGCTGATCACAGTCGGACTCGCGCTCGATCCAAGGCATCCCTGGATGAAAATTTGGCCAAGCAGTTCGGTGCATGCTGTGCTTCAGCACACCTTGACACATACTTGCAGCACTATTTGATGCGGAGTTTGACATTTTTTTTATTACCTTCTAAGAATATGATACACGTGACAGAAGTTCCAAATAAATTCATATTGCGTCTATGTGAATATTTCCTTTCATAGACGATAGATTAGCTGGTAAAATGAGGCAACCGTGTTTGGCATTCCCCGTCACTCCCATATAAACACATTTATTTTCCAGTTTAAAAAACGCTTAAACACGAACAATTATCTTGGGGCGATGCCTTTTTGTCATGAAATACCCACTCAAAACGTATCTGAAGCTAGATGAATGTCTGTAGCCTGAAATGCAGTTGATTTTGCGTCTTCCTATCAAGGTGTTAACCGCTAATCCTCACGGCCAGTCCAGGAAGGCTGACCGGGGCCAGTGAAGTTCTCCTTGAATTGGATCTTTTGTTCACAACTATGGCTGTGCAGTCACAAACTCCATTGTTGTCAGGGTTGCTCGTGAAGCTAGACAGTCCATGACAGACGGTTCTTTTCAAACCGTTGAACTGTCCAACACCAAAAGACGAACGGAATGAAGGGGGATTAACACCAACCGTTCAACTGTTTCTAAACCGTCTGTATTTGACCTCACGCTTTACCTCATAAGTTTAATGAGCTGTGCCCTCCACATGGCCACTATTCCTGTCAGTGTACATATGACATTTTTATGTAATTTTTATCTTGGTATACTTTTAATGTGGACACCCTGTAGAGTGCATAGAGACAATTGAATTCAAAGGATTATCATTTATTATTTCATGCATGTAATGAACTACACATTTTTTCGCTGGCATGAACCATTTGAGGTTATTACATGTGACACCATTTGCTTCGGCACCCTGTGTGTTTCAGGCAGCTCTTGCTGATGAGGAAGAAACAGTTGCCCCACCCCAATCATCAAATGCATCATCCTCTACGGGATCCATCTCTCAGTGGTCCAAAGAGATAACCAATGCGGAGGTGGGTGAAGATGACAGTGGAGGCGAAGAGGAGGACGATATATGCGGCACCAAGTGCAGCGTGGATTACATGGAGGAGTGGGGCGGCAGGCAACGACACAATGCTGTAGTGCTGTGTGTTGAGCCCAGGAACAGTCTCAAGGAAGAGGTACTTGGGGCATGGGTCAAGTCAAATTGGTTGGGATGTGTCCAAAACAGACTGTCAGAGCTATGGCTTTATCCCTTGCCAGCATCAGCCCACATGTCTTTATTCAGTTGAAGCTCAGGCCTAGTTGTTGAAACAGCATTCTGACAAAGGCTTTATATTCTCCTCCCTGCTATTTGTTGAATGGTTTCATGTCTGGTCCTGTGACAGTCTCGACTACGTTCCTGTGGCATTTCTTGTTTGCTACTGCAGGCTTCACTCAGGGTTTTGTTCTGCAACCCTACCTCCAAATCCATGAGGCCGTGTCCCTACTTTCTGGAAGGAACCTGCCGATTCACAACAGAGGATTGTAGGTAGGTAATCAAAAGACTTAATGCATTATCTTATCATATGAGAACAGGAAATGGCCTTCAAGCTGCAGAAATGTCATTGGTTGTTTACCAGCTGCTTAATTAGCGGGCTTTAATTTACAGAATGAATGATGGTATTAAAAATTTAGCTGATCAGCTAACCGTAGGCACATATGTAATGAGAGCACAATGTTATCATCGCATAATTATAATATGTGAATTTCCTTCAAAGTTTTGAACTGATCTGTGAATCTCATTATTTGGCCATACAGGTAAATTGGCTGAGCTCAGAGTGGCGTGTGTTGTAATGTAACATTTATTCGGAGATTATAAAAGCAGACAGCTACTTGTTGGACCACGGACCATTTACGCATTGGTTCAATGCGTGTTACAGCCTGCACAATATCAAAGCAGAAATTAAATTGAATTATCTCTAATAATAAAACATATGTTCCTGTCTACTACTTTGTTTTCTTGTGATATTTTAAGTCAGGGTACACCCTTTCTAAAAATATGCTGCTCAAGATATTTCATCCTATACATTCTGAGAAAAGTGTACCACAAAATTGGGGAATTTTGCCTCATTAAATCTTCGTTTCTGCTTGAAATCGATAAGATTTATTCGTCGAAACGAAAGATTTAAGCACCGCGTCGGCGCATTGTCTCGGCGTAACCACGGCTGTTCCTTTTAAATTGATTAAGGAATAATTTACGTTTTGAATCATTGTAAGATTTCAGTCACTTTTCATTTGAATCTGCTTGAAACAAACCTCCATATGCAATTTTCTCATTTAAAAACAAAAGAAAATTTTCTTTCCTTTTCATGAATTTTGCATTCGAATATTCAAATTCGAAAAATAATATTTGAATATTCGATAATTTATCGAGTATTCGGATATTCGGCACAGCCCTAACCCCTATGCTGAGATCCCCTTTGGTTTCAAAATACATTAGTTGCAAAGAAGTTGCTGGTGGTGATTTGCCATGAGTCATTCTGCTTCAGCACAGAGATCATCACTGACACTTGTGTGAATGTCTTTCCTAACCAAGTTCAAAGTTTAGAAAAGAAGAAAGTGTGCTGCAAGTTTCTCAAACAACATTATTGTCTATTTGATCTTGAAAAATGTCTGCAGGTTTTCCCATGGATATGTTGTAAAGCTGTCCGAGCTGCATGCCTTCAAAGAGCCAGACTTTAGGTGAGTATTTCTAGCAAAGGAACACAGAAGAGCGAGCCTTGTTCAACAAACATCTCATTCTGCAGTCTGCATCCTAGCTGTTCCACACATTGTTTTCTGCTCCGTTTGAGTGGCATTGCTCTGCTTGTTTTTTACTGGTTGCTGCTGTATCATTTGCATTTTCTTGGGAATTTTCAATGTTGCTTTCTACAGAGCTCACAGTTTTCTCAGTGGATTGTTAGAAAAGCAATACCATATTTGATTTCCTTCCTGCCAACAAGAATGTAAATATGTCATTCAGATCGTCACTGTCTGGTTCTTATTTCTGTGTTGAAAATATTCTTGTAACGGCACCAATATTGTTGTTTTTTTGCTGCTTAAAAAAGACTTCATGCCATTTAGTCAGTGTAGCGACTTGAATGACTTAATGTGGCTGAGGTTATCTGACATCTTAGTTTTCTGCGCATTTTTAGACAAATCAACTTTTTTGAAATATCTACATCAAACCTCTTGACAGTTTACTGAAGCTAGAAGCCCCGTGCCTAGCCAGATACAGTGATGGTATCTGGTACCCAGCCTCCATTCAGCACATAGACCAGGATAAACACCAAGTAGCAGTGCAGTTTGAGTCGTATGGTACTACAGAAACACTTGACATAGAAAGTATACTCCCATCAGGTGAGAAAGTGTTTATTACAAGAAGCATTTCGAGATTAACTGTGCTGAAATAAACTTTAAAGTCTATTTTTATTGTTTAAATATAATGCGTGCAGTGAATGTTGACATATTTTAGGGTAAAGAATAGAGAGCTTTTGTTTTTGTTGTTTGCTTAAGAAATAGTAAAGAAATGAGGGATTTGTTTGTATAATCACTATTTGCATTTCAGTGTCTAGTTTTTTGAGTACTACAATTATACAACAATTATTTGTTTAGAAAGTATTGCAGTCACAGTTGTGTGCCAATATATGTAATTAGCCGCTATTTTGAGGATTTAACCACAGTGTTTTTATTTACTGTTGTCAAGTGTCAACTTTACCATCTTTGTTTAAAGTTTAATGAACTGTGTAGAAGCAAAATGACGCAATTTTGTTTTGTGTGCTTGTGCAGAGTATGCAGTTGCACTCGGGCAAATTGTCCAAATCATAATTTGTGCAAAGAAACAGCTCCTAGCATGCCCAGAAATATTTTGTGAAATTTCTGAAGGGGCAAGCTTGGTGCTCGGAAAAGTATCTGAATGACTAAGGAACCTGAGTTACAGGTCCCATTGCTTATTCCTACGGGTACAAAAGAGTTGATAATGAAATTTGTCACCAGAGCAAAGGGAGGAATCGTCACCGTCTTTGTCATCGTCCAGTGATGACGACTATGACAATGAGGAAGATAAAGCCAACCTCCCATCCACCAGCTACTCGAGATCAGTTGAGCAGCAGGAAGAGAAGGAGGAGGACGAGGGAGATTTTCCCCGCATCGCCTGGAGACCGTCGGGGGATGGAATCCCCCTGGGAGAATGGGAGGCACACACCAGGGGGATTGGCTCCATGCTAATGGCCAAAATGGGCTATGAGTTCGGGTAGGCTTTTGCACTCTCAACTTGTTGACTAGTCTTCAACATATTGGCACTTGCATTAAACTTACACTGTGTTTATGTCCAGAAAAACCCATTAACTTTGAGCGCTGTGGTGGTTTGGAGTGGGAAAAGATTTATGTGTGAAATGCAGGATTCCTCAATTTAATGCCTAGTTAAGGCTCTTCCTTACTGGCTGGCAAAGCCAGCATAACAAAAGTATGGTTTTGTGACTTCAGTTAACAAATATTCGCACTGCAAATTTGCAAATATTGAACACATTAAGTTGAGTGTATTTTGCTGCAAGTGTTTTGTATGATGAAATTTGCTTTGCTTTCACATTTGCCCGAATTATGAAGTGGCTTTCCGTCAGCCCTTGCTACAAAATTGTACTTCAAGGTCCCTTTTAGGGAAAAGATGTCATGTACGCTAGAGAAAACTTATTTGGAATCCTGTGTGAAAAATGAACATATTTAAAATGGTTTCAAGTTGGAAGGTTTTGGAAGTGCAACACTCTGTAGTCTGTAGCCCAGCTTATGATTATTTTGCATCATCTTCTGAAAACTTGTCTGTACGTTGACAACTGGACTTTGTTCACTTGAGTCACTCTTTCCCCTTTTTGTGAATGTTTTCAGGAAAGGATTAGGAAGGAACGGTGAGGGAAGAGTGGAACCAGTTGAAGCTGTGATTATTCCACAGGGTAGGTGGGCGTGGATGGACATTGTCACATCAAAACTGTAAATTAGCGTTTGTTATGTGCAGTCGAGGCAAAGGATGCCACATGAAACTTCCTCAAATTTCACTTTAACCAGAAACCTATTGACTTCAACAAAATTTTGTTTGCACCACATCTGGTGCTGCATCTGTCATATAAGATGGTAAGAATTTTTGTTGTTGAAATTTGCATCCTATGTGAAAAATAATTTAATGTGTCACAAATGATGAACATGTAATTTGGTTGACATTAATTATTCCTCTGAACCTGATGGTTGTAGATACATGAAATGATGGTTTCTCGAACATGATCTAACAAATTGATACAAATTGTGGTACATTTCATTCACTATGAATGTTTAGATGCTCTTGGATTCCTAGTTCAAAAGTGTTTCATTTGGAAGGGGCAAGATTTATTTTGCGCCTGGTGTGGTACCCTTGTGAAGGTGTGGCTATTAAAACGTGTTCCACTGTTAGAATCTATAGTGTGTAATTTTGTGCCGCCAGGTAAATCACTTGATAAATGCATGGAGCTTCGAGAAATGAAGAAACTTGGCATTGTGGGTAAGCCAAAGAAGAAGAAAGGGAAGGGCAAAGGTCACCACCACAGCCAGGGAGGGTCATCCTCATCCAGTGGCCAACACAGGGAGAAAGAAAACGTCTTTGACTTCATCAACAGGAAATTAGGCGGCAAGAAAAGTGAGTGCTTAGATGAGAAGTCTGACAAGAGCTCGTTCAACCTTTTCACCAGAACACTTATTTTCACTGGAACATGTTAAACACATGACAAAATTCCACAGATGTCATTTCTGGAGGGCCAATAAAGCACGAGAGAGAAGGATATCAACTGCTTGCCCTAGATTTACCTCACAAAAGGCTGAGTGATTTAAACAGCAAAGCAAGCTTCCCAGAGGCTTTGAGTTGTTCTGAAATTTTTGTGATACACTCGCTCACACTCACACACTATCCTGATTGAAGACCGTCTTTCTCCTCTTCGTCAAGGATTGAACTCTATAATGATCATGTCTACTTGGCTGGATTGATTTTCACAGCTCTTCATGGTTCAATGGCAGAGTGTCCTTGTTCCATGGCAACTCCGCGTGCAAAAGAAGTAATCAGGCAAAACTGGAAGGGCTTTTGAAATGTTAAAGAATGTTAGGTTTCTTGAAGTGTTTATCCATGAAATTATATCCAGAATTTGCCCACGGTAGCCTTTTTGTGATTTTCGTTCATGACATTCTTGTATGTTTCTATCTTAACTTCAGCCAAAATCACAGAGCTAATTCAGCAAAACTCCAACAACAGGAACTTCCAAGGGAAGGACCCCTCAAAGGACAAGCAGGAGAAGCCAGGCAGGAAACTCAACATACAGGTTGGTGCAAATGGCACACTGGCCAGTCATTTCAATTCTAGCCTTTTTTTCCCACAGAGTCAGGGGTCTGCTGAAGAACAAAATTGGGTAATTCTGACAAATGTCAATTAAACAATCACAAACAAACTGACGATCAGTTTTATTCATCTATAATTTTGCCCTTAAGGCACAAAAGCCATACAGACTGCTTTGGGTTTGAAATTCAGAAAGCCAAAACACTGAAGTTTTAAACGGATTTAAGGCTTCCACACTCTTCCTAAAAATGTTAATTTTTTGTGTGAAGCTGTTGAGTTTATCAGTGTTGCTATTATTTTTGTTCATCAATAGCTTGTGAGGACAGAGGAAGACATCCGAAGTACTGAGAAGCAGCTTATGAGGTTACAAGAGTCGCTGCAGAGAAACCAAAGGTATGGCATACACAGGGCTAATTCCAAAGTCCTGATAAATTCAAAGGTACAGTATTTCACTGACCATACGAATGTGATCCGCAACAGTGATACAAGACGGAAAATTGGGGCCATGGGGACTTTTAAACTAGTGGCATTGTGAAATTTGAAAAATGTTAGGTGAAAAGGTGCGATCTTTCTGAAGTTGTGTCGAAAACGGCCGTATTTGCAGCTATTGGATAGACTGTTGCATGCCTCAGTCAATCAGCTGAAATTCTTTTCAATGAACAGCTACTTTGGATGTGGTCAAATACATGAATTAGTTACAAAGAGTCTGAAATCAGCTTTTGATTGTACTAACAAATTACCTGAATTGTAACTGTGGCGTCAGATCACATAAGCCTACTGGCACGCAGATTCACTAGTATGCATTAATGTGCATTTACAAGAAGCATTACGCAAGTCACCGATTACAAACAAGCACTCAACCTCCTCCTCAGGGACAAGCTGACAGCATCCAAGATCAAGGAGAAGATAGATGCCACAGAGCGGCTACTACAAAATCTCAAATCTTACGAGAGCAAGATCAAGAGACAGCAGAACAACAGAGAGGAACACCGGAAACTCACCGTCTTCTGAATGGTTGCCAACCAGTCCTGTTTCAAGACTTTCAGTGTTTGTTTTGGTTGGCTGATGCAATGTGTGGCGTAACACACTCACGAAGATTTGCTTGCTGAGCAGGTCTCTGGTCAGTCATGTCTTTGGCGTATGCAGTGTATTCAGTGCCAGGGATGTGTATGAATACACATTCGTAAATACCTCAGTTTCCCTATTCAACAACCTGCAACATGACCGCGTATTAACCCCTTCGCTACGGAGGACTGCTACTACCGCACCTTTGTGTGAGGATTAGTACATACCACGCATACAGTGTATTCACCATGCAGCTGCTGGTTCATTGGGGCCTGCTGATGGACAAAGCCCTCCATTCAGGGCATACCAGAGCCCAGCAGTCAGGGTCAAAATAATCCTGCCGTGAAGGGGGTTAACATTTGATAATGCCCGCTGCGTAAAAAAACGCTCTGGCACCTGGATACGAGACAGTTTAATCCATCCCTACTGGTCACGATTCTCCTTGCAAAGCGGCATGCACAACTCGCCATGCATGTGCTAAGTCCATATTTTACATGGCGATTCTTTTGGACAACTTGCACAAGGAATATTCCAGAAAATGGACGGGGTATTAGAGAGAATAAAAGTAAAATTCTAGAACAAAATCGTTGGAAAGCGATCATATATTGACTTCTTCTGACTAAAATTGGTATTTATGAATGGTAATAAATATGTGCGTGGCCTGTCTTAAACTAACGTTCAAGACCGACCGAGGAGAATTAATGCTTCTAAAGCCCTAGCCTGCAACTCAGGCATCAGTCACATCCATTCTCTTGGTCTTGAGGTTGTTCATGTACAATTTTTCTGGAAAGCCCTGAAAAACCCCAGCCCATCTGGATGGCAGCGACTCACCTGAAAGTGTTCAACGAAATCCAAAGAATATTTGTGTAGATTAATGGTTTCTTTGAAACATGGGCATTTATACGTGAACGAAAGAAATGGAGGCCGAAGAAGATGTGTTAAATATGATGGAGTCTTTTAATGCCATTTTTTTCTCTGAGTTGCAATAAATATTCGGCATACAAGTCATGCAATGCAGGACTAGAGTTCTTAGTTACTAAGCACAGTGATGTAACTCTGCAGTTTTGTTGTATATTGGAGCTGTAGCAATCTTTGGGTTTTGCATAGGGTGCAGATTTTCCAGATGAGAATGACAAGATTTAAATGAACTTCAACCATGCTCTGTACTATCGTGGTGGGCAAACTACGATGCCCCTCCCTGGAATGTTTAGTTTCCATTCACACTGCTCACTCCACCATCACACCTGGAACATTGCCAATGACACTGGAGGACACAGAAAACGTGTGGTACCTAATGCGTTAAATTAGTATTATACAATGATCATAGGCAGCACTGACACAAAGTGACCCAAAATATGAAAAATTGAAGATTCATAAAGAAATAATTAGAATGAAATAATTTGTGATGTCTGAGACTTGTGAGATTTTGTACAAAACCGGCAGAACTCAGAGTGAGATTTCTAAATGAGAGAAAATAACTTGGCCAATACCTTGTCAAAAGTAGAAAAAACAAAAGTTAATGATAAATTCTGTGATCCACAGCTTAGTTAAGCTATTTAGCGTGAAGTCTGATGGCTAGTTCTCCAAAACAGTTTTAATTCCATAACGCAGAGACAGTATCTACTTTTGTTTTGAACAGGGTAACAAAATCGTGGTACATAGATTAACGATAATGATCTGCACCTTGAACACCAGTACTGATGTATAAGTCCTCGTTATGAATAGTTTGTTTTCAGACACTGATGCAAGCTGAAGAGCAACGTAGTCGTATATAATTTCTGTCAGTTATTCTGCCCAAGGAACCCTATGAACCACAAAACCCATACCGGTAGCCTATTGAACCAGAAGCTGGTTTCTGGTTCCTCGACCCTAACCATGCAGCATGTGTTAATAGGATTTCAACCAAACCCAACAGAATCCAACAGAGATAAGGCTATCTGGATTGAAATGCAAGAAACTAATCTTTTCATTCACATTGCCAAATTTCAGTTACTGTAGGAATCAGAGAGTTCCAGGCTCCGCTTTGGCAGGCACAGTTTTGATATCTGGGTCCAGTTCTTTTCAACGGGACTTTCACTGTGCAACTGGAGGCTGTTTTTTTTGCAGCAGCAGCACATTTTGGGAATGATTTTCAACATCTGAGCTCTCGAAGGTATTCACTTGGCATAAAGACTGCACTTTTTGACTATTTTTGGGCGAGCAAGATTTGAAATTGGAACTGTGCTCAAATAAACCACTGCATTTGTAAGACCCGACAATGGATGCTTAAGCAATGATGAACAGGTGAACATTAGGATATACATGTGTACATGCAAAGATGTCAGCAAAGCTCAGAAGTGACCTCTTCCAGCTAAAACACTGGGCAGCACACTTGTATTGTGAAATGGTACCTTCTTCCTTGATGAGTGGTTGCTTAAGGACACTTTATGACATCATTTCTGCCCCACAAATACATATGGGTTTATTTGAAACAGATGCCATTTTTCTTCCCACTGCCTCAAGTTAACAGAGCCCTTATTGTCGGATATGTACACACATATACATGTATTAAAAGAGTGGTGCCTAGTCCTAAAACCACCAGTATCTAAGGTAGATGAGAAAGACTACGAGTAACGTGATGACGGCGGCAATCTTGGCATTTCTTGATCTCAGGTTTAGGTACTTGGCGTCCTGTTTGTACTTCTTGGACAACGAGGACAGGTTGCTGGCTTTGTTGTCCAAATCTGGAAAATACAAAAATTCAAGAGAAATACCAGGAGTGAGCAAATCTTAGCTGAGGCCCAAAAAACATAGTTTGTCTCAGGTCAGACTGATGCGGTGATGCAGCTTTTTTTTCTCCTCCAGGGTTGGATTGTACAGGCAACTGCAGACACTCATTGTGAAGTCAAGGGACTAAACCAGCTTTATCAATTATATGCTGACAACAAACTTCGTTCAACATTGATCCTGTTGGGATCTATTGCCCTGAGTAAAAGATAGAGCTGCCCCCCCCAAAAGTTGAGGCGGTGCAGCAACAGAGCGTGGTGTTGCAGCTCTCGCAGAGAAAAAACACGAAGACTATCGTGTATGCTTGAAATCGATGCGCATGCAGACCAGAGACGAAAGACTTTTTTGGGGGGGGCCTAAAACGTTGTGGCAGTGACGCTCTTTTGGTAGCTCAACTCGTGCTCCATTGGTGCAACAGACCTGTAAAGTAAGGAGTCATGCTTTGCACACATGAGGTGGGACCAGATCCACTGAGCCTCATGGGAAACTGAGTAAAGCAAAGTGTGAGGCCACTATGTTCTAGGTCTAAATGGGGTTAGTCAAATTGATATGCCAGTATCCTCCACATGGAGGGCTTGGAAGTGTGTTTTTCAGCAGAGTCTAGAGGTGTCAACTGGATAATACCATTTACATAACAAAGGATCGCATGTAGAAACGTTGCTCGACATTTCTTGGAGTGTGTCGCTGACATCCACTCACTCTATTTGTACAGCAAAGTGTGGGGCAATCATTAAAGTGAGTATTGCAGCGATTCAGCAAATTGTGTCTCGGGGTCGGAAAAATGAGCTCTGTCAAAATACATCAGCTACATTTTGCAAAAATACTGAACTTGAAAGAAAGTTTACACCCAGTTTCACTTGTTCTGATTCTGAACAATGCATTGCCAAAAATCCACAGTTTGGAGAAAAAAAAATTCCCAAGTGAGGTTTGAGTGATACGACCACGCACCTGACAGTGCCACCCCTCTCTGCATGACGTCATCAATATTCTGGACCATAATCCTTTGCACATCTTGCAGCTCTGTGTTGATGTGGCTGATGTTCCGTCGGGCCCTGGTGTCTGTGTAGGATTTCTTCAGCTTCTGGATGTATGTGTCTGTTGATAATTAAAAACACGCAAAATGTCAAGGGTCAATCGCAGCAATGGTACATGCATTAAGACTGTATACTGTGACGGCATGATGGAGGCTAAGATTAGTTTGGGATGTTGCCTTGACTTCTATTGCCCTTGGAGTATATATTAAAAAGATAGAATGTTGCCAACTTCTCCCAAATCTTCCACTTTCTGAGGATGCACAGGGTGATGTGATCAAGAAAGGCCTGGGTAAATACCCTTCCTGGCAATGGTAACAAATAGTCGTTTTTCAAGAATCACTAATCTGTGATGGATGGATGCAGTTTAATGGAAAGATGCAAGAGGAATCTGATGAGGTATTGGGAAATTTATTTCCTTAATAAATACACACACAGCTGACGGCATTTGAAAGTTTAATATGTTCTAACTCCTGTAACTACAAGAGAACTTGTGCCCCCGTAACCAGCAGATGAGAAATACGGATCATTCATGTTAAGAATAAAAGAAGACACTGAATTAGTTCATTATGAAATTATACATGATGTGCGGCCTTACCAAATTCAATAAAGGAGTACGGTCTGGTGACTGTGCTAACCTTCTTACTGTACTGTGAGTAGAATTCCTGCTGTAGCTCCTCCAGGTAGGCAAAGGCTAACCGCTTGGCGTACTGCTTCTCACACAGCACCAGGTAGACAACGCCAACCTCGATAAGGTAACTGTGAGAGCAAGGCAATTCTGCTGTGAGCGTGCTGATGAAGTGTCCAACAGTTTAACCGGTCCCGCAGTTCCGATTCAACAGAATGGACTTGTTCAAACATGAATACCGGTAGTTAGGATTTGAGAAAACAGCCTGACTGATTCAGGGACTACCTGTCCATTCCCTTCTGAAGTGCTGCTTGGTTCAATTTGGTTTAATGTAAAAATGTTATGTTCATACCTTATGGCACAATTTAGCAGGTTTGTGAAGTGTCTGACCTGAACAATACTTGGTCCAACTATCCATGCCCACTTACTCACTGCATCCCTAACCTTTGTCAGACACATACTGTGTTGACTTTTGTCATTGATGAAGACGACTTAAAATAGCAGTTGAAACCTCTTCTTCTCATAAGTCAAAGACCACTGCAAATCAACACTTGACTATGTGTATATGGTTCAATAAGGCAGTCTTGGACATCAGGACTCAGAAACTAAAATGAGTAACGTTCTATTTGACTTACTGAAACACCATGGGCCCACTTTCTATGCTGCATTTCGTTGGTGACTGCTGGTTGAGTTTTTTGAAGAGCATCTTGGCCTGGTTCTGATATTCCATGAAACTACGGCCAGACTGTATCAAAGTTGGAAGATATCATCCTGTTATGTGTCATCATCTCTTAGAAAGTGTAGATATAAACCCGACTCAAATCTGCCATATTCAAACATGTGAGGTGTCTTCAATAATACAATAATAGCATTTGTATTCGAAACCTGCACTTTCCAGCTGTTTAACCTCCTGTTTATTTTGGCCATAATTTCCTCCTTGCTCATACATTATGCTAGTCGGTGCATACATTTGTATGTACAGCTAAGGCAGATGCTGTGGTTAGGGTGTGACTGTAAGCCATTATACATGTAGGTCTAAGTGAGGAAAACAAGACCAATTACATGTATTTTGATTAATGTTACAACTTACATTGTTAGCCTATGTTAAGACAGAAGCTAATAATTTTCAAAAGCCACTGGCACTGCCATGGTGATACATGATGTTGGCCTAATCCCTATTGTCACTAGTACTACTAAAAGTACTAGCATTAGGCCTAGCATTAGTAATATGGGCATATTACTATCGTACATATCGTACGTAGTCGTAGGCCTTCCCCCCAAAATTAGACTGTCAGACTGAAGGGTCCGACGTCTGTCCCGCTCGCACGTGGGAACGGGGTTCCCCCAGAACTGTGGGTAGGAATGGGCCGACCCTATAGGGTACATGTACGTAGGCTAGCCGTAGGCCAACGGCCCACATGGCACGTTTACAATGGACAATGCATGTATTTATTGTAGTTAGAAAAACAGCAATTGCAAGCATATGTCCCTTTGAGTGGAATTCATGTTGTTCAGCACAAACCATGCAACGTACAAGGCCCTAATCGTATAAGAAGTTGTAATCAGGTAAACAGTCCTGACAAATACCACAGCTGGTTAACAGCAATAACGCGATTAATTTCAGTAATTTAACACATTCATTACTAGCCTGTTCATCCTCCTGCATCGAGGCAGCTAGCGGTAGGCCGTCCGCCAACCGAGCTATCATCGTCACTAATACCATGGCGATTGTTTTATTGCTTTTTTTGGACTTGAAATTGCAAGAAAAGCGGAAAATAAGGGACACAAATTATCGGTACACAGCCACTGATGCCACTATTACGAGTGCCAGCGCGACGTGGCCAGCGCCAACGTAAATTGCACGGTATCCGACAATTTCAGTGATTACGCCACGTATAATAAGTTGACTACCAGTGAAAACCTCTGAACTTTGATAACACGTTTATCATGGGCGGCGCTAGGTACCGGGTACGTCCGCCCGGCCGGCCGGACGTACATATGTACGTATGTGTCGTTCATTCGTTTCCGATTTGAAAAAGAAAATAAAAAAAACAGTCGTTCCTCGTTTTTCGATGTGAAAACAATAAAAATGAAAACAGAAAAAGTCTCTTCTCAGTCGCCATTCATTTGAAAACGAAAAACGATAATCACGTTCTTTTTTTCGTTTTTCCGCAAAGTGAAAACGAACAACAGCGTAATCTATTGCTCCAAGAATGAAAAACAGTTCAATTTTTTATTGAAACGTAAAAAACGTCTTTGTAAGCCATCAATCAAACATGCATGAATCAAGAGTAATACGAGGAATTTGATGCTTCCAAAGTAAAAGGAGGAGCAACTCACAAGCACATTTATCGCATGCTCAAGGGCAACTTTTATCTTGAGAAGTGCCAACGTCAGTGACACCTTCTTGAAATTACGTGGGATTAATCGGGATTAAAATTTAAAACAGGTCTACTTTTATTTTTCGTTTTCAACAGCAAAAACAAGAAAGGACTTCTTTGTCTTTTCCGTCATTTTTGGTTTTCAAATCAAAAACTGAAATCAGGTTGTGTCTGGTTGTGTGATTTGTTTTAATTTCGAAAAACGAATGAACGAACGCACACGGACCCGCTAGCCTGTCTCATAATATGATATACAGCATATACAGAGCGGAACTATTAACTGGGTTATGATTAACCCAGGACCCATGATTAACCCCCTGCGTTGCCAGGATTCTGAGCAAGGGGAGGGGAGAGCTAGCGGGGGCTTCACGCTAAAGTTTGAGGGCCCCCCGGGGGGGGGGGTGACTGGATGTTGGACATATACAAGTACATAATCGTGATCACATCAGGATATGCAGCGGGGCGACGGTGCCGGGGGTAGACGATTTTTCAGCCACGCCGCTGGATTAACCAGATTGCTCGGTCCATTACAGAGATCTGTCATAGCTATGGTTAGATTATTAAAAAAAAAAAAAACAAAAAAAACTGGTATGTAGTTTTTACCAGGGGAAAGGCTACCGGGGTGGGAGGGGCAAGGACGGGTCTAGTGAGGCCAATGGGGCCATCCCTTTCGGAGCAATTAAAAAACTAGTTATGGGAGAAAGACGATTTGGGGAGTCTAGCTATTTCCTTTCCCTCCCTACTGAAAGCGTGTAAATAAAAGCCCCACATGTAGCCTCACTCATCAGAAAGATCGTAAAGGTTACAGCGCAAATATTTCCCCTCTCTGAAACAAGTTTACCCTCTGGCCTTGAAAATTTGGTTCGGGATGCATCCTTGGGGATGGGTAAAAAGGGATGCAGGGTTGCAAATTACAAAGTCCAAAGGGATGGAAAAGAGCGGGAGGTTGACAGAGCAAACTGAAAAAATTGAGCGGCCAAAATAGTGACGGGACAGTGAAAACAGACATTAGTTGTAAAACCCAAATAACCGTGAAACAAGATGATAACAGATGAGACAAGACGATAAAAGTACCATGTTGCAAAAATGCGCCCAGGGGACTGGGATTTAGGCCCGTGTATAGGCGTATCTTCGTTTTTAGGCCTATTTTTGTATCCTCGTGTGTGAGTTAAATTGCAATAAAAAGCCCCGGAGCGCCCCCCCCTCCCTGGGTGCGCCACTGACCCCAACAACGATGATTGGATTGAGCATCTTCATTAAAAGGCCAAGGTACGTCTGTATATAAAACTAAAAGGCAAATGGAACAGGATCATACTTTTTGGCCAGGAGGAAATTCAAAAGTCATGGCGGGATTCCTCTCATGGGATTCCTGCAACTTTTGTCAAGGGTCTCAAAGGCGGTCAGGACGACAGAACGGAGGCTCAGTTTAGCTGTTCCGAGGAAGAAATTTGTGAGTTCTTTTACTTACTTCTTTTATCAGTTTGAAACGAAAAATTGAAAATAATTAACTTTTTTTCCCGGTGTCAACTTGAAAAATGAGCCTTCGTCAACCTGCTGTGCGTTTTACTTTGCGATCAATCCACACATGCGCATGCGCAAAGACACGTAGCCGAAGATACGGACATCGAATCGGGGAATCTGTGCAAACAGATCAATCCATATTTTGTCATTTTTTTACATAGTCATTAAAGTAAAACCCCACAAATATCAGGCAGTATCTGTCATTGAAGATCATACATTAAAAACAGGTAGGTACAAATAAACTCTATAGCGGAATAGTGTTATTTTTTTAGTGAATTATGTACGTCGATATCTTGATGAGATTTTCCATGCCGTCCCCGTTGCGTTTGTGCCTTTGCTTCCGTAGCATAATTGTCAATGTATCACCAATTTCGTGAAAAGTTTTGCACTTACTATTTCCCTTGATTGAGAAGTAGTTTCACAATATATAGAATAAATCATGCAGTATTCTGATGAATTTACTAACAGTGTGCTTTCCAGTTTGGCGTTGTTAACCAGTCATATACACTATTTTGGGGGGAAAAAGGAAAAGAAAGTGGCATTGTGGGTGAACATGGTGAAAGTTCAGAGTTAGGCATACTGTACTTACATGACTTAGGCCTAATTACTTATTAGGTCTATGCTTACCTGCGTGCAGACATCACTGTCATGACTGTTTTCCCCCTACAGTGGTTTATTGGCCCTCACAAAGATATCTGTTCTAAAAAGTCCAATTTAGCTGAGAAAATATTGAACCCTTTACTTAGAAAACACTTAAGCCATCACTTACTTGGGCATGTAAAGGCCTAGGCCCTAAATGACTAACGTGACAAACAGGCCTAAGAGTGAGACCAAGAATTTTCAGACCAGTTTGAAAGGGTTTGTGCTCCTGGTTTGAACTGATGTCCTGATATGAACCTTTTTCCAAACTTTGCCCTCACATGCCTGATCAGGAAATGTGTTGATTTTTACTTACCCTCGTGGTTGGCATGATGTCACTGTGGACACAGGCACAGGCAAAATTACCCTTCATGCTTAGCAGAAGTGCACAACAAAAAGTTGTCACTGGACACTAGATACATGCAAGTTTCCCGTCGTGGTTTTGCACAGTCTATGATCACAGCATAACATTCCCATTTTGGGGGTACATTCCTTTTCATGTGTTGTTTTAAAAATGGCTGTGGTGTGGTCCATATGCTGTACTGTAATGTTACAGAGACTGTCATAACCGCTGATGACTGGAGTGATTTGGAATGGTGAACGAGGTTTAATCCTTATGTCATTGCCATTTTTCCATGTTTAAATTAGTATCATTCCAAGGTTATTACCCTTCCAGGGGGAGTTTCGTAGAAATAGACATCCCTTGAAACCCTGTGCACAAAAAGTATGGTATGAGACTGGTTTGAAAAATTCTAAACATTTTTAAGTAAATGCTTCAAATACTTTCACTGCTGTATTTGATGTTTTACTAGACACGTTATCACTTTCTTGTGGTTTATGAACCTTCTCTAGGGAAAAAAAGTGATGTCCTTATGGAACTATTACCAACCTTTCTCCAAAAGAAGCCAATTACAAAGTTCGAACTTTTTTCTGTTCTGATTGTAGTTGGTAGTTTTTTCAACATGTCTAAGGAAAACCTAAAGTACAAGTTTTACACATTTATGGCATAAATTTGTGGCATATGTGTACAGTGTACGTGTATATCCAGACCAGTTTATAAAATGTAAACCTGCATATTAGAAAATTTCTAAATGTCTATATATAGACATTTAGAAATTTTCTAATATAATCGTTGCCACTACCCAGCTTTGTTAATATGACTGAAACTGACCAACAAGAACTCAGAGGGGTTGGGGGCTGGTGAAACAGTTGTGTTCATTGACTGATGTTACCTTGCACCTATTGTTGGAGTCATTCTTTTACTAGAATGATTCTTCAAGAGGAAGCACTTGGTGAATTGTTTCACAAAGGTCAGTGGGTCTTGTTCCAGTGGTCAGAAGAAAGCACAAGTGCTGCAAAATGGGAAACAGAGAGAGAAAAATATCAAACCACTTTCTCCTTTACGGAAATGCTGCATAAAAAACTGTTTTAGGTACATGTAACAAAACATCAGTGCCACTACCTGTTAATGATTTCTAAGCACAGGTACAGGGTTGACAACTCTCAGTTTGAAAGGATCTAGACGGAAGTATTTGGTATTTCTTGACATTTTTGTAAATAAAAATTGTATGGCTTGGGAAAGAGTAACTTGCTAGTGGCAAAATATTGCTAGCCACTCATTAACTTTCAAATTTTAATTTTAAAGCCAAACCCACTAATTGATTGTTTCGACCTGTTGTGAAGGACAGGGATCAGGATTTTGCCACTTTCAATATCATAGAACACATAGAAAAATCTACACATACATTTTGCTGTATTTTGTTGATACTGGACTATAGAGTTGGGGTGCCTGGCTTTTCGTGGGGTTAGATGTCTCCCATGAAGTTCTTCAACGAATATGCATTTAGTTTTGTTTGAGCATAGTGATGGAGTTGGCACAGAATTTAGCAACATAAACCCCAGCTAAACTGTCCAGGGATTAAAATGTATGAATAAATACGGTAGATACCTGACATTTACAGATATTTGATAAGAACATTTTTTTTTATTTTCAGTGAAGTTGTGCAAGTTTCAATTTGTTTTCCCAGACTACATGTATACCAAATCTGAGAAGATTCTATGTCATTTACATACACCAGTAACTCGAAGGTTAGGGGAACAAGAATGTTAAAAACAGTGTGTGTGCAGTTTTGCTCGGATGGGATTCAACCTATGAAATCCATATAACACTACATGAGTATTAAGCAGGTCCGTTAACTCTCTGAACACACATGTAGTTTTGCTGTTTGCCCAAATCTTAGTGCAAGGAACCAGTGGCATAGTTCACTTCCATTGGGATTCAAGCTCCATAGTGAAATTACATTGGCTGTACTCATCATTATACATGTACGGTACCTTCGTCTATCATGCAAATTCCTCCCAAGTCTCCTGGTGGATTGTGAAGGAGCTCATATGGGAAGGTTTGAGTGAAAGTACATGTAGCTAAAAGTGTGCATTGTGATCCCTATGTGATGAATGCATTTAATGTCATTGCTTTTTGCTGTCATTTGCTGTTTTCCTTTCCTTTAGGAATTTTAACAAAGACAGGACTTCAACAATTTATAGATTATCAGAGAGGTATCTACAAAAACTAGGATGTCAAGCGGTGATCCAGGCCAGATGAACAATCAGGGGGGCTTCTATGGTCAGGGTAAGTTGTGCACACATATATATAATTCTTTAGATGTCATGATGGAGTTCCACATCATCAGAGAGACAGTTTAATGTAAAGTGTACATAAATGTATTTCAGTACCTTAACCACTTGCTGCCGGGTGCTTTTAAAAATGCAGTGCACACGTACATGTACGGGAGATTTTCAAGATTTGCATTTTTCAAAATTCTTCAGAAATTCATCATTTCATTTAATGGACCTTTACACCCACACGAATGACTGTTTGGTGGCTACTCTAAGCTGACAGGCAACCTTTATTGACTCCTGAGTATTTCAGCCAGGCCTGCTGGCCTGTAAAGAGAGCCCAGAATTGGTGAGGTGTTGCATAATTTCCTTTTTCCCCAGTGAATGCGAGTGGCGTCTTTTCAAACGCAGATGGATTAGCATGCAACGGTGCTGTGTCACTCATCAATGGGGCCCTGGAGAACTTTTGTCCACGGTGCTAATCCGCGGGCGCGCTATGCCCCAAACCAGTATACTGTTCAAAAACAGTGATTGATTACCTTAAAAAATGCAAGCCAAAAAATGATGGCATTCCCAGCAGCAGGTCTTTTGTTCCAAGTACTGTCTTTTGTTACATGGACCAGCTCTTTTGACAGATTTCGGGCACTCCGGCTCTGCGTATAAACCCATGGTGCTAGAAATGGGGTTCCTCGGCAGCAAGTGGTTAACTATGTGTATGAGATGGTAATGCTCTTGTTACATGAAACATGGCTGTTGTCACTCTGTCAAATTATTTAGTAAACTGTCATACAGTGTATATGAAAAATCTTTTTTAAAGAATTGGAAGATTCCCACTTACTTTACCATAAAACAGTGATAATGGTTAATATAATCCTATAGATGAGTTTTACTTTGTTTCATGTAAAATGTTGGGTTGAATCCTCTTTGACTTGAAATGCTCTAGGACAAATGGTAAACGGATGTTGTATTGATGTATGTATGCATGCACACAAAATTTTGATATGGAACAGATTCATTTGTGACAAGTGCACCTGTTTCCACAGAGATCAATACTGTTTGTTGTGCACACAATGCATGCACTAAAATAAGCACTGTGTGCATAAAGCGAACCCAGAGTCTCAGTTACTGAGTAGCCCAATAAAGTTGGAGCTTTCTGAAATGAACCACTTATTCCAGAAAATTCTGTTGTGTTGGTAGTTCTTTCCAGTGCACCTGGCTTCATGATGAAGTGAATGACTGTTGGATGGATGGATGGATTAAACATGAAATCGTGATAAGAATAGCAGAAGTTGTGCAATCATTATCTTGGTGGAAGCCAGAGACATTTATGATGTCTTCTCAACACCTCGATTGCGATGTGGAAACCTTATTATGTTAGTTGTTTGTACATCTACCTGTACATGTATCTGATAGGACAAATAAACAACTTGGACATTCTCTTTAGAAATTTTGTTTAAAACCTTGGCACAGCGGATTGTAAGGCTCGTGTATGATCTTTATCATGAAGTAAAATATGAATCAGTGAATCGTTTTGTTTATTTGCATTTAAAAAAAACAGGTCCTCCTCAAGATCTTGGATTTTATAACCAGGCTCCAGGTGGCAGCGGCCAGGAATGGTTCAACCAACATCCTGGTGGGGGTCAGCCTGTGTTTTTGAATCCCGCTGATTACCATAAGCCACAACCAGCTATTTACCAACCCACCAATCCCGGCGAGCCACCACCAGCCCCAGGTAACATCGTGCCAGAGGGACAGCAGCTTGCCAACAAAGGCTACGCAGTTCCCCATGAACCCCAGCAGGCATATGGGCAACCCTTTTTCGGTGAAGGACAGTACCCGGCCAACCAGTGGAACAGTGTCCAGCAGAATAACGGGGTCCCGCCGCAGCAGCAGTTAAGTCAACCACTGAATGGAACTAACCACATGGACCCTGTGGGTGACAATCCCCATCCCTGGAACCCAACCCAAGTTCCTGGGCAGCAACAGTTTACAGACTACAACCAGGCCCCGACCACAGAAATCCACAGTGGCCCGTACCAATCGTTTGAATACAGCAACCAGCAGCAGCAACAACAAGTTGGGCAGTCCAGTTTAAATTATGGAGAGTGTGCATACAGTGATGATAATGATTCCCATAAAGGCTTTGGCTCCTTCTTCCACGGTGATGACTCTGATGTGTTAGCGTCTAGCGGAACACCAAGTTTGTCTGCAAGTGAACGACAAACCCCAGATCATGCCCTTGATCCTACCGTAGCTGGTGACCCCAGCCAGTCTATACCACCACATTCCAGCATAGGTCAGTCCCAAGTCAAAGGCCCTGTTCAAGAAGGAACCCTTGTTGACCAGCAGCACCACGGTCAGCCAGGTGGGGATCCTCCACAATTTCCTGTTAATCAACAAGAACCAGTTACTCATCCAGCTACCCAACCCCCAACTTCCCATCCTTCAGATGCCATGTTCAGTCAAGAGCACCATAATGATCAAGTTACTGTGATAAACCCTGACAAGAGGACTCCCGCGGGGTATGAAATAGCCCACAGTGCTAACCAAATTGACGCCCAGACCGTGAACCATGCATTTACTCAACCAAGTCAGAATCAAGCAGACGGAAGTAATGTTGTTGGAGGTATGCCTTTAGACCCTGCCGTTAGACAACCACAGCAGATAGGGGTACCCACAGACCAGCCAAACGTCAACTTTGAAGGAATAAGAAATGATAATGCTTTCATGCCAAGTCCATTGGTATCTTCTCAAGGGAGTTATCCATCAGCCATTGCTGATAATGCAGCACCTGAAAAGACGGATCAACCTGTATTAGCAGTGAGCCCCTCACTTGCAGATGACCAAATGAGCAGTCGTAGTCAGGGAAGCTCGCTACATGGCGGGTCGGTCAGTTCCCAGTCCCAACCTCCGTCAACATCAACCAGCAGAAGCAACTCGATGTTGGGCGACCAACCTGGCAGTGGCCATCCCTCCCTCAGCCCGGTCTTACGAGATGCCAGTTTGGGTTCAGTTAGTCCCAGGGGTGGAGACGATTCTCCGGTCGTGCTGCAGGGCTCACAGGGCCAAGTTTCAGCTCATCAGCAGGTGGAACAAAGTGAATGCAGCGGTGTGAAAGCTTTTTCGGATGCTCTTGATTCGGCTGCCGTCGAACAAACTTGCTCAAACCAGAACAGGGAAAGGGTGGAGTCGGACCTGTCTCCCCAGAGCAGCTCTGTAGCACCTGTGAACCAAGAGGTCCAACAGGATGCTCCAAACACTGTGACACGGGATCCTGAAAATGTACAACAGCCAGAACAATCATCCTATCAGGCAATATTGCCCGACCCAAACTTGGGACTTGGATCTCAATTTCAGCAAGAAAGTGGGCCAGTAATTGAAGAAATGCCATTTGAGCCAGGACAAAATGTGCCACCTGTTTCTCCAGCAGTCTGTCCTACCTCACTTCCCAGTGCAACAAATGTGACACCTTATAATCAACTAGAGGCATCAGTTCAGGCCGGTACAAAACAGTCTCTGCCCCCAGTTCCTCCTGGATCCGCTTTATTACCTCCAACAGGTCAGCTGAAGCTCCAAGCCTTCCAGGCACAGAGAGCTGTTCCCCAGGGCCCCAAGGAACTCAGCCCTACTGACGAGAAGTCTCCAAGTACTCATCCGAGTGCATTTCGCAGCGTTCAGCGTGGCCAGCCAGCCCAGCTCACCTCTGTGAATCCGTCGCCCCCTCTTTGGTCAGCAGAGGTTCCCCCAATGCCAGCCAACATCCTTCTGGCACCTGCTGCCCCACCCACAGCAAGTCTTGTCCCGCCGATAAGACTTGCCACCCCACACGACCAGACATCCACAAACTTAGCAGCAAGCGTTGCATCTGTCAGCGTACCTTCTTTACCAGCAGAGGCAGTGCCGCTACTTACTCAGCCCACAGTAAACTCAACTCTGCCAAATCCCAGTCAACCCACTCCAACATCAACCTCAAACCCAAGCCAGCCCAGCGTGTCCTCCCAGACCTCTTCTGGCTCAGTGCAAACGTCGGATGTCAGCCAGGTCACACAGACCATGGGCAACCTAAACTTGGACCCCGCTCAGAACCCTCTGCCCACCCAGCCCATTCCGCCAGTGCCGGTACAGCCAACTCTGCAAGCGTCTTCCTCCGCACCTGTTGCTAATAAAGCCCCAGAGACTGTGTCACTGGCGGCGTCAGTCCCTACTCTCGCCCCACCAGCAGCTGCCAGTGTTGCTCCTGTGGGCAGTGTATCTAGTGCCCCAAGTAACATTCAACCTACACAGTCGACACTGGCTGCTACTGGGGTTCCACAGACTGGCCCAGTTCAGAACCAGGCTGCTGCATCTCAGCAGCTCCAACAACTGTCTGCTAGTGTCGAAAATCAGCAGCAACTGCCGCAGAACCAGACAGTGGCTAGCCAGCAGGCACAGCAGCCACTTCCAAGTGTTGAAAGTCAGCAGCAGTTGCAGCAGCAGCAGCAGCAACAACAACAACCATCATTTCAGCTGCAAGACCAAGTGTATGGGCAACCTCAAAACCACCCAGGACAATTCCAACAGCAGGTACATATTAGTCAATTCATCATTGTTAATTCTTGTTAATTGAAAATCAACCGCCAAAAGACAAAGTACCAGCTCCTTTATAAAATGATAAATTGATCTGTGATGATCCAGACCTGTCAAAGTATGACTTCAAGCTGTCCTTGGGCATTTCTGCGAATAATTTTTGAAATCTGGAATGTTGGTTGTCTTGGGGTTTGTGGAATTACAGAAAAGAAAATCTTGCAGTTTAACCTTAACCACCAAAGGTTGCTGGCCCTAACCTTCCCCATTCTCACAAAGCCAAACACCCATATGTGCACAGAGTTTGTTGGACTTTGTTTTTCTGAGGTATGCCAAACCCAATTGCAAAAACCAGCTGTTATGGGCCTACCAGACGTATCCTCACAGAATTAAACACTTTACTTCTGTTTGATTCTGTGTGGTTGGGGAAGGTTAGGGTTAAGTACTAAGTATTTTCTATTAGGTCTTGCACATTGGAAGTTTCATCAGAACTCATTTTTTCGTGTCAAAATAGCTAGGAAAGTACTTGTAAAATCAAATTTTTTCCCCACCAGTAAAGTTGTGCTTTTGTTTTTCTGCTATCAGGGACCCCCAGCTGGCAATCAGTGGTATGACCGTCGATCTGCCGACCCGTACTATGACAGGCAGTACTACGACCAGCGGTATCCTTACGATTACCGTAGCCAGCAGTATGATTACTACGCCAGGCAGGCTGCATGGGATAGGCATCGGGCCTATGGGTACAGAGGATCAGGATATGATGCCAACAGGTGTGTTGGTCATATTGTGAATAACATCCCTGCTAAATGTGACAAGATGCAAACTGTGCTTTGCAGCTGTCATTCACGCTGTAGAATTAGTGGTCAACAGGAGTAGCAAGAAACACTTGGGAATGCGAAGGATGGTGTTTATAAAGTATAGTACAGTGCTCATTGAAATGAAGTCCATTTCTGTTGTGTGTGGCAGTTAGGGTGGCTTCTTATTATAAGAAACTTGTCTTGATTTCCCGTGCCATTGCAGCGTGAATCTGGATTGCCATGCATTCCCACAGTGTTGCAACATATGGGTGGTGTTTGAAAATGTTTAGCAGTAATCAGGCAAACTTAGAGACAGTTTGTATGACGCATACAATTTCACAATCAAAGCATAAAGAATAAAATACTTCTGGAATCAAGAACTTCTCAAGATTTCTCATATACTTGTATGTCTCTTGAAGGTCCTATTCGAGACAAGGATACAACAATCCCGAGCGGCCCCGATCGAGGCAGGGATACTCTGATCGGGATCGGGAGAGACCAAGGTCTCGACAGGGCTACCAAGACCAATCCAAGCAGGAAACGTACCCTGATCAAGAAGACAGACAGAGGCCCCGATCGAGGCAGGAGAAAGGCTATGGTGCTGATGCCTACCACAGAAGCTATGACAGGAGGGACTCAAGGGATTACTACAGAGGTTAGAGTTCAAGTGTCATGTTTTAGGTCGAGGGACATTTCAAATTCACGCTATATCTTGCACTAACCACTGAAACTACTTCTCCAGGATGATCTGAACTGGGAATATATAGAAACTTTTGCTCTGTTTCTCTTAAAATTCTTCTCTTAAGGTCACTTGCTACAGCATTACCCCTCTGTAAATTCAAAGGAATGATCATGCCCAGTTTAAGAGGAACCATCCCTATCTCCATGTCGCAGTTCAAGCCACCGCACTAGTTTCTTATTAAGTTGAAATTTTGGGAATCATTTGCTGTCTCGCTCAAAATCAGGTTATGATGCCTATGGCAGACCGTACGACAGACAGGCCCAGGAATACTGGGCCAAACAAGGTTACTACGGCAACCGCAGTTACGACGAGCGCTACAAGAACTGGGAACAGCAGAAACAGTATTACCGCGATCGTGCGGACGAAAGCCAGAGGCAAAACACCAGTGCCCCAGAGCAGCGCTGGTCATCAACGGAATCACAGACTGGTAGGGAAGGCTACCAAGGCAGCCAAGGTGACTCGAGGTAAACGGTTACGCCTGTTTCAGACTGTTATTAAAGGCTATTCTTCAGCAGCATGGAGGGTCAAGAAAAAGCAAAACTTTAACCTACATGTATGTTCTTTACATTCTGCCACCAGTCCAAGGTCCTTGACCAAGGAGCAGTCTGAATTCAAAGACAAGATCAATCAGTTTGGCTTTATTATTTAAGTTGGTGTGTGAACATAACTGATTAGGAATTGACCAATTTGCCAAGCCATTTTAGTGCTGCATTTGATCTGATCAAGTTGGTTTTGGACACATCTACATAAATTTCTTAAAATTCCCTGCTTTATCCTTGATAATCCACTAATACCTGTGTGCTGTTGATGTCTGTCCAAGTCACATCAGCAGTGTATGTGGATGCTTGAAATCTGCATTTCTGTAGTTGACCCTTCACGTCTTCACCAGTCTCTGCCTTTTGTTCTGGCCAGGTTTGCGTCGGAGTTTCACCACCAGGGCGGAGGCACGCCAGAGAGGTACAGTGCCGACCAGAGCAGCATCTATGCCCAGGAGTACACTAACCAGAATGCCAGCAGCAGCATGGCATACCAAGGCCAGTATGGGAGTACATATGGGTACGGAGACAGCACAGATGGAATGTACCAGGAGGTTAAGCAAGGTGAGCTGTACAACAGCCTTTTGGGTTCTGTCTTCATTAATTGACCTTTTCGCACTGTTAAGAATTTTTGTATCATAGATTTTAAAGCAATTATAACACTGCGTCTCCTTTCAATATGCTGTTAGTTGTGTGCCAACTGTAGTTTACAAATCATGGCCTCGACAAAAAAGGATGGACACAAACAAATGATGTGCTGTTCGTGAGTAATTATGTGGGGTTCACACTGCCTGATTGATTCCTTCCAGAAAGCCGTCAAACCCCTGCTTAAGTAAAACCAAGTGAGGCAAAAAAGACAGGGTTATTGTTCTAAAGTGACTTGAGCGATGCAGTCTTTAAAATTTGAATGAATACATTTGAATAGCACAGTTACAGTTGTTTTGCTGTAGAAAAGTCTGAGTATGTGATTACTGTGCCTTCTGTAAGTTTTGGGGAAGCGTGTTTTGTCAGGCACTGTTCAGAGCAACAAACTGCCAAGGTCCAGTATGTCTTTTGAGCAGTAGCTGGCATAATGCGGCTTTGTTAACTGGGGGGCTTCCCGGATGTACATACATGTAAAGCTGTCGTGTGCCTCATTCCTCTATTGGCTTCATGCTTGAGCAAAAGAGGGTGCTGACAACATTGGCCCTCATTTATGCTTTGCTGGGTGACCTATGCCACATGCTGCATTTATACCAGGGAACGCCATTGACTGGTAGTCATCCCTTCATTGTCCTTTGAAGTCCAACTAGTTGTGGAGTCAGGAAGCAGGCAGTCAACCTGGACTGGGAGGGGAGGGGGCCACTCAGGTACATGTACTGAAGTCCCAGAATATCAGGAAATAACTTCTCGTCCCTTTTTTTTTTTCCTTTGTGTTTTTGGCCCTCAGTCACCCCTCCACCCCCAGAGCGGCTGACCCCAGCCAAGTTTGCCCTGCCCCATGTCGTAGCGCGGTTCAGCCCTGGGGGCCACCTGGTCAAGGTCCTGCCGAACATGCCCCAAGACGGAATGCCAGCCACGGTGGAAGTACACAGCATAGAGGTAGTTACTTCATCCGTTTTGTTTTTTTCCTCACCAATGTTTAAAAATTCAAAGAAAATTCCGACCTTATGTACTTTTTTGTACACATGTACATGTATGTTTGTTCACATTACCATTGACCACAGAGGTTGCTTATTTCTTGCGTTCTGAAAGAAAGAAGTGTGTCCTTACTTTTGGTTTATTAATGTTATTTGTCAAATGCCTGAGAGACAATTTGCGTCAAAGGGTATTTAACCCTAACCCTACATAATGCTACTAATTACTACTTGTAGTAAAATGTAGTACTGAGCGCTGTCGCTTGTAAGAGAAAATGACTTTATTGTTTTCTTTCTGTACGAGTAACAATGGAAGTAACCCAGCCAGAAGTAGTAATCTGTAGCATTAGGTCCTTCAGGCTCAGACTGTTACTTAGTATTTTGTAGTACTGTGTACTGTAAGCCAAACAATATGCTTGGCAGATAGGGTTAATAAGCATTGAGAAGATTTCATGATACGTTAATACGTGTACCTCGGAGTGTTTGCAAGACAGAAGTTAAAGGTGCCTCAAAATTAGTCATTGAAGTTCAAACATATTGATTGTCGGTACAGAGAGACCTTGAACACTTCGGTCAACAGCGTCATGCAGTGAGTTGCTTCAGTGGGCCCTTACATGTATGTTTCGTGTGAATGTGTCCTGCACAAAAGTGAAGTAAAACAGTAAAGGACAAATCTGTTTCTTGTTCAGAAACATTGTTTTAATATACACCTGCTTCATGAGACAAGCTTTACCCCTTAATCCCTAACTGCTAGGAGGAGAAACCTTAGTGACTCAGTAATTGTGCACGGTCCCATTCTAAGTGCAGTGCCAAAGATCTGTTGTAAAACTGGATGGCCACACTCATGATTTGTAAAAAAAAAATTGAATTTTTTTCAGACCATGCTGGAACACACTGCAGAGGCAGAGGAGTTGAGAGCCTTCCCAGGACCACTCATTAAGTATGTAGACCAAAACCCTTGTTGACCCTCACAGACTTTCTGTTATGTCACTACCTAGGAGCTGTACACATTACTGCAACACCCTTAGCCACTGAAGGGCTTTGACTGTCTCGAAGACTAATCAAACAACATCACCAAGGATAGACCTTTCCTCACTTTTGCTTGTCGGGGAAAGGTTTATGGAATTTGGGTGACCAAAGACTTAAACAGACACTTCAGTAATATGCATGTATCCATGTGTTACAGTCTGAAATTTGGGCCTAAGCATACAGGCATGGAATTGTCCCCCTATTAGGGGCTTGCCTATTGGTGCCCTTCTTGTGAGAATGCTCATTTGAAGTATGAACATAAGCAGTTGGTTATTTTGATTTAAGCAGACTGTTTACAGGGAAAACATTCATCTTGGCCTGTGATGCCAAACGATAGCGGACAAGGAAAAATAAAACACCAAACAGTTTCCAGAGCCTAACAAACTCTTTTTTCAAGTAGTCACATTCAATTGAATTATTGCATGATTTTTTTGTTTTGTTTTTGTTTTCTGTGTGTGCTGTGCACTTGGCATTTGCAGAGGAGAGACCCACAAAAGCGACGTCATCGGCTTCTGTCACCGGAAATCATTGATGTGTAAGAACAGCACGGACATGGTGGACAGGGAGTCGGCCAGCCTGCTGTGGGACCTCATGGAGCTGGCGTGCCGTCAAAACGGGGTAACCAGCTGCCTTGTTTGAATTGCTCGACCGCAGCTTGAAATTTAACACGACTGTATGGGTGGTGACTTCCGCCACTGTCATGGACCTGTGCCGAATTTCACTGAGTGATTTGAACCTGGCTCACCTACCAGAAAAAAGCACCTGTACAAGATAAATCTGCTGAGGGAGACATACTGCAAACCCCTCGGTGCTGGGATTGTTTCGCAGCAAACTGGTCTTGGTTGGGGGGGATCATGGGGAGATGATACCCCAGTGACAGTCTAGTGCTAAGTTGGACATCATAAAAACAGACCCTGGCGAGTCATTTACGCAAGATTTATAGGGCGGCAGGACATTTCTTATTGTCACTGAATTTGTACAAAGCCCCAAGGGCCTGCCACATTGCAAATTTTGCTTCAGTGCAGGCTGTGTAGAGTGGTTGATTTGGAATTCAGTAGATAGTCACATGTGAGCAAAGCGAGGGAGAATTCTAAAGTTTGACCTGTTAATCACTTCTGCGATCGTAACGTCAGAACGTTTCAACGCACTTTTCCGTGAAACTGTGACAGAGCCATTGTTATATGGTTTACACATCCTCCTGCCTGAACTGGTTAAGGCCGGTTCATACTCAAATACAAAACAAATACAAACACGAATTTGTGATGTCAAGGTCAGTATGAGCATTGGAGCATAGCACAAGTTGATTCTCCAACAGCGCATGCTTAAAATGAAGCGTGTTGTAGCTCATTTTGGATACATGATACGCAGTTGCAATTATGCAGTATTAACGTAGCCATACCATGGCTTGCGTACGGAACATGGGTGAGCTGAGATGATGTCAGATTTTTTTTATTCCACATGGCCTTGTCATGATGAAATGCTAAATTGGCTCATTTCTGGCGTGGCATACATGTATTGTGTAATGCCAACTTTGCTCTGCACTTTTTGCAATCAGGACTGAAGCTCTTCCGTCGAACTTGACAACAGAAATGACAGTGAATTGATTGGAATTATATTTTCATCAGTCCCCTAATTTGTGCAGTGGGATTCTTTTGCGAGTTAATGGCAGGGATCCTCTGCAGCGTAAATTGACCGCAAACATCTGAAGGCAGAGTGGATGACAGCGAGTCTTTATTTCATTTTAGGGGTTGTTTGTCTAACATTCAGGGATGTTGATCCACTCTCTTGAAGAATGGAGCTCGTGACATACACTATTTATTACATTTCAGACATCAACTGGCAACTAACTCTGGGATTCGACCACAGAGAGATTACTAAGAATCAACTTAGTCTGATAATTATTTGGACGTGGAGTTTCGTCAAGGATGCACTCAAGTTTTACTTGTCTACCCTGCTATTAAACTAAGATGATAGTTTTTATTTAAAATCTTCTGCATCAAGTGATTGACGCATCGAATTGAAAAATCACTAGCATTCAATGGCTTGCGTGCAGTGCGTAGACGAATACGTTTTTGCCATGTAAAAATGTGTTGGACAGCTCTAGTGAAACCACCTTCATGCCGCCTTCATATCTGCTTTCATCTTTGGTCTCTGTATGGCAAAACTTAACATTATTAATTCAGTGTCCACATCACCAAACGCTACCAGGATTCAGATATCACAGATCATTAGCTACTTAGCCACACATTATCAGCAGATAAAATTTCTTTGAACATTCTTTGTGCTATGGTTATCACTGCCTACAAGTATCTTTCAATATTAGGGCTGAGTCAATTCGAATAATTTACTGTTTGATCGAATATCCAAATTTATGGTCGTACCGACCGGTAGATTGTTGATGATCAAACTATATACAAAATCAGTTGCAATAATGCACACAATTGTATATTATAATCATTATAGTAGCTTTTTACATCTTGGAGTACCTCCAGCCATGATTTAGCAAGATTTAAGAGATGACCAATAGTGCGTGCCGTGTCGAAAATTTCTATTCCTTTTAAATTGTTTAATGAATAATTTACTTTTTGAATCGTAAGATTCCTGTCGATCATTTGAATCTTCTTGAAACAAGCCACTGTAGTGCAATTTTTCCCTCATTGAAACAAAAGAAAATTTTCCCTTTTCGAGAATTTTGCATTTGAATATTCAAATCGAAAAACCCTCTAATATTCAAATATTCCATAATTGATCAAACATTCAGTTATTTGGATATTCGGCACAGCCAAACTCAATATCATTGCGCTGTCAGTGCAGTAAGTTATCAAAAATCAATTAATACTTGATTTCTGCAAAAGAATTAAATCTTTACAAATGCCAACAGAATATCATGGAGTCTGACGTCTCTGAACTGCTCCTGAAAAATCACCCCATGGTGTCCTCGTCTTCATCTGAGACCCCAGCACCTCCGGCAGGAGATGGGGTAGCTGGAGAGGAGACTAATTCTGAAGCTCAGAGGACAGAGGTCATGACCAAGAGAAAGCCTCAACTGAGAGATGTGGAGAGTGATACTAATAAATTCCGCGAGCTGCTTCTTTTCGGTCGTAAAAAGGTAAGAGTGATCACATACTGTGAGGTTCTTGTTTCGTGTCTGATAGAAAGCTGGAATCTTGAATTGTAATGGGCTGCTGCAGTTTTCAATGGTTAACAGTTGTAAAGGAAGGGCACTTTGTAGAATTTTCTTTGTATGCACTGGTGAGAGACACATACTGCAGTTTTGTACACATTCAGTTTGAATTGGACATTTGTTTGTATCAAGGTTAAAATTGTAGTTTTATGCGCATTCTGATGGACATTGCAGTTTTTTGCTCATTCTGGTGAAAATAGCAGGTTTTGCCCACATTCAATTGAAAAAAGTGCAGCTTTTGTGCCCCGAAGTGGGAAATAGCTGTTTGTTTTTGCACATTCAGCTGGAAATAAAGCTCCTTTTCATTGTGCAGCATAAAACATAAAGTTACAACTTCATGCAAGCTGTGCATTTTAAGGTAACTCTCTCAGTTACTGTTCTCCCAAGGGTTTCCATCAGCTGTAGGTATCATGTGCTAAACATTTTACCTGCTTGGTGTTTCATTCTGTGCGGGGTACTCACTAGCAAGTCTGCAATATCCAGGGGTTGAAATTAACGTTGGTTGGCTGGCCTGAGGCCAGTAAAAATGTCGGCGGACCAGCTGATCTGAAAAAACTGGTGGTCCGGTGGGCCAGTTGAAATCTGATGTCTTTTCTGCTTTCACAAATATCTTTTAATAATCTTTCTTCATGTTAAAATGCTTGTTTAAGGAAAAAAACCCATTATTTTCACGAGTTTCCATTCACGTTTCGCTATCGCTGTGGTGAAAACACTTGCGCAAAACTGCATTAAACGAAGCTGCTCTGGTTCCTGCCGTGCCACACCCATGCAAAAGAATGCGTGATGGAAATGTAGGACCCAGAATCAGTCTGTACTGTACATGTCCTCTCTACATTAGCCGTACATGTCACGGATGCAACCCTAAGGCTGCAGGTCCAAAAGACATCGATGTTGCAAGAGGTTTTCTGCAAGTTAATTCACAGAACTTGATGTCTTATTTATGTATGTATTTTCTGCATTCATGAATTTATTTTGAGTTTGTTCAGCTCGTGGCTCCAGCTCAGGGTTTACCACCCGCTGGTCCAGATGCCTCACGCACGCTTATCAGGCGATACATGGACACTGTTGGCCAATTCGCTGTCGCGATCGCCTGAGTAGCACCCTGTGAATTGTCTATAATTTGAACTGTGAATTGTCGAATGTAGAAATTTTTACATAGATTAAGACAGGTGTTAATCACTTTTTGAGATAATTTTGGAAGCCGTCATCCCCATTGATGCCATTCAATCAGCAAACCAAAAAATTTCTGACCTACCGACCTTTTTTTTTTTTTGAGGCCTAGCACAACTGTTTTGGGGGCTAATGAAAGACTGCGTGTATTGCAGTAGGCCTTAGTTAACCAAAATTATCGTGGATTCCGAGAAATCTTGGGCAAGTGTTGATCCTATTCGAGCAACCAAATATGTGGCATGGCCTGCCCCATCAGGCAAATTAAAAAAATACAATTTGTTGCAGCCTGCACCGTAACAAGGATTGCTCAAGCAACTGGGTTTGTGGTTCTGGTATGGGACCGCCAAACTTTCAGCAGGACCAGTGATAATTTTGCTGGGTACCTGAATTTCTATCCCGAATGTCTATGTTCAGAAATTCTCTTTAGAATTATTTGTCAGACTTTGTGAACTTTTCATATTTACAGATTATTTCCATTGTATTTTTTTCCATTGTGCGACTGCATTCCCGTTTAGAGGTTTTTATTTGTCTTCTGAGAAGTGGCCCAGCTGCCACGTAGGACAAGCCAAAGAAACGTGCACATTGAAATGAATAGTACGAATGCTATCATGATATAGGCATTCAGTATTCCAAAATAGATTATAATAATTACTTTGGGACATTATCATTTCTTGATAACTTAATGACTGAAGCATATTTGCAAATTGGACAAAAACCAAACTGTGTTTAAATTGGTTTTGTTTTTAACATTTTCGCCATCTCTTTACCCCAAAATTTGTTTTCATTTTCCAAGCCTGGAAAAGTCATGGAAATTTGTAAAAATGAATAAAGTCCTGGAATTCCTCAAACTTGTGTGATTTCTGTTATCAGAAATAAGTGCATAAAATGCGTGATTATATTCGCAACTTTAAAAATCCTAATAGTCCAAGAAACTGTAGGGAGTTTGGGTACATGTATGTATGTTGCAGTTGGTGAAGTCGAACGATGGAATATGGAATGCCAGCTTGCTTTGGTCTTCAGTGTGCGGGATGGACTTGTTGCTTGCATGTGTGCTGCCATGCAACCACTAGTACCTTCTTGGCCTCCTGTCTGAAACACCTGTTCAGGAATATGTAGACCAGTGCGTTCAGCCAGCCATGGGCATTGAAGAGGAATTTACACCACACAATGATTGTAGACTGAGGCTTTTCTAATGGGTTTGATGTGAAGAATACACCATAAACAACACTGGCCACGTAGGGGACGCTCGTCAAGGCAAAGCACAGGGTCACGGCGGCGAAGGTCTTGTAGCCCCGTCTTCCACTTTCAGCATTGTGTTTCTGGGGCTTGGGGTTGTGCTGGTGGATGCGGAGTGCATGTTTCCTGCCTAGAAACAGGAGCCTGGCGTAGATGGTGCAAATCAGCAGGCCTGGTATCCCCACCAGCAGGCTTAGGATGATTGCATACCAACGGCGAGTGTGGACTGGCTCCTGCATAAGTATTACACAATAGGTACCGTAGGTACGGTTACTTGGCTCTTCCTCCCCGTCTTTCTCGAGTCCGGGGACAACCATAAATGAAGTGGCAAAGATGAAAGCAAGTCCGAACACTGCCCAGAGCAACGCTGCTGAGATCTTGAAGACTCGTTGGGCCTTTTTTTGGGTGTAATATAAAGGGCGCGTTATCACCATGTATCTGTCTACGCTTAATGCAGCGATGAATGCGACAGATGCAAATGACGCGGCATCAAGCATGCATTTACTGAGGATGCAAACCTCTGGCCCAAAGGGCCACTGCTGTGCCAGGATAGCCACAAAGGTTGCAAGAAATGGCCAGATTGTCAGCATATCTGCTATGGCCAGAGACACCATGCAAAGCTTGGTGCTGCTGTCGAGGTTGGGCATTCGACGAGCCACGACGATGGATAAAGTCCCTCCGATGCCATTAGCAGTGGTATTGAGCAAGTTGAAAGTTGCAAATAATGCTGTGACAGCTTGGTGATAAAAAACAGAGGTGCTCATTCCAGAAGTTGAGAGTTACATCAGTGGCATATGCTCGTGTAGAAGTTGCCCCATGTGAACATGTGCATTCACATGTCAGTCCTTGGTTTAGAGGCGCTACTTAAACAGCAGTGAAAGCATTGGAAACTGCAGTGCATGTGTCTCACGATCATGGGTGCATGCTGAAGTTGGACCTCAATTACAGAACCAGCACTGACTGACTGCTAGTGGGTACTTGCGCACGGAAAAAAACCCCAACTAAAGCCTGAGTGTACATGTGGTGCTTAAACACGGTCAGGGTACCCGGTACCGGTTGTTCTGGCTGTTGGCATGACTACGTGTGGCAATTTCTAACAGATGGATGTACATGTACATTGAGGCTAGGCTAATGGACACAACAAACACCAGGCCAGAACTCATTAGAAATCAATTTTTGTTGATTGTCAGGCAAGCACATATTACCGTGAGATTCCTGCCTCGACGTTAAGTATTAAAACTTGCTTCTCTGGAAGATTTCTCCTCCCCCCCACCCTTTCCCCATTTAAGTGTCAATCTCAAGGTTCCACTTTGCAGGTGACTTTTTTGGCTGAAAATTGTAACAAAATTGTTTCAAAAAGACAAGATAGCAGCCAACGTCTGATAGGAACAGATTTCACCTTTTTGAGTCGCCTCTCCATGTGCAAATGCGACCTTTTTGAAATTAAACTTCTGTCTTAATTGGTACCATTTGTAGAAATAATTGGTTGGTCTTCAAAAGTGAGCTATTTAACCTTGTTTGTTGTAAAATTTAAAGCAGATTTCATTTGTCCTGTCCGAACAACTGAAGTGGAATTGACCATTATCATTTTTGAAAAGAAATCATAATCTATTCATTTGTCCGTGTATAGTAACTCTGTCATGTGCTGTAACAACTGCAAGAGTAAATGGCCATGTTAAAAGTGCATTGGGAGAATTTTATTTTTGTAAGAATTATACTTAAATTCCTTTATAATACAAGAGCTTTCAGCTATCAAAGCATGGCATAACCGTCCCCGATCTGTTGCAGATGAAGTCTTCAAATCTTGTAGTACAAAACCCGATCTTTTTTCATCTGAAGTTGTTTGTGTTTCTGCTTTTGTTGAACAAGTTGTCCTTTCACTGCATACATATTTTTACAAAAATTTTACGAAAAAATTGTCAATCGCTGATCTGCTTTGAACCATTTGATTTAGCTGATCAGTAGGTTGCATAATAGTCAAGAAGTGTTGTGGCTTTTGTTCACAATAGCTAATGCAAAACAGGTCTTTTGAATCCCATGTATCGAAAATGAAAACACATAAAATTATCATTGCTGGCACCATGATACATGTTCATTTATATGCCAAACATGCCAAATCCAACCAAATCCAATGACTGTAGGTGATTTATTTTAAACCTTAAAAGTTACATGTGGGTCTGGTGCTTTGCTTTTGTTTGGTTATATCTCCTGTAAATTTGTGAAAGTTTCTGTTTTGTACAAACTACTTTGAAACCCAGCTGGCGTAGGTTGTATCTTCTTGTATCTTGTATCTGGAGACTTAGAGCATAGGTAACTTTGGGACTTCTGTGTTCGGTTTCGCCTTTCAACCATGTACTCTGTGTTGTGGGAGAGCTTGTGAGACAAACATGACTCACTGGTATGATAACTGTACGGGTGAGCAGGCGGTTGTAGGTTCGATTCCCTCCTGAAGTTTTTCCTGTCCATCTCTTCAACAGCAGGGGATATCTACTGCTACAGTGGTGGAGAGCAAGTCCCAATTCATTAAATACACTAGTTTCCATATGTGTAAAAGCAGGTTGGGCAATAAACAAGATTGATTCTTGAGGTTGCTAGAAATTGCTTGTAAATGTCATCCACCAGTCTGTGCCATCCATGCAGAGAGACAGTCCTTGAAGGTCCACGGTAAACAAGGGAAGATGGACAGCTTCCAATTAGGGCTTATGTATGCTGGATTACCCTGGGAGTGTTTTTCTATGGTTTGACTGGCGCATAATAACCTGTTAATCTGTACTTGCCAGTGAGTATCCACATACCGTACAGTTCTTTTTTCTTCATGACTTTGACTTGTGTTAATGCTTGCTGCTAATTATCTGGCATAAATTATTGTCTGCGTTTCTTATCTTTGCTAACTTACACATCACTGTTTGCAGAATTGTTTGTGGTTTTATATTAATTTTGCTTATATGGACCTTGGTTACGAAAAACTGGCTTGTGGAATTTGAATATACATGTACTGGTAGCTGATTGAATTTCATTTTAAATTTTAAATTAAAAGATTAAATATACTACAGCACATGAGGTATTTTGTCAATAGTATTAACACATGCGATGTACCAGTATATCGGCCTGCCGTCACACTGTGCATGCTCCTTTCATAAGGAACACATATAAAGCAAGTGTGTTTGTCTTTGGTGTTTACTATCCCTTGTTACCATGGTATTCCCTTGCTGAGTTGGTACACTGCAGAAGTGGTTCTGTAATCCACAATTTGGACTGTACCTGTAACTGTGAGGGTTTTCCAGTACTCAGCTTTGTTGTTCTTTCCGGCATCCAGTTGATTTTTATCCCCTCCCCCTGACTTTGAAATCGTTTGTGCAGGGTGAAGTTGTTAGCTCAATTGCTGATACAAGTGGATTATGGAAGGGTGCGCTGTCGACCCAAACTTTAAAAATTTTTGTTTCATTCGAGCTCACAAGCTGTCTACATGCGCATCAACATGTACATATGGACTGTGACATGTTCTTGAATGTCGTTATTTACCAGGACGCCTTGGAGGCTGCAATGAAGGCGGGTCTCTGGGGCCATGCCCTCCTCCTTGCCTGCAAGATGGACAGTAGAACCCACACGAGCGTCATGACAAGGTAAGAGTCTCTGCTTTATAAGTGGATGGTCATTGTTAAAAAAAAAATCTGTGAAGCTTTACTGATTTGTTATAGCTATTGAGCATTGAGTTTCACAATGTGATGTTCAGGGGTGTGAGAATTCATATTTTTAGCTGATTTGAGCTTTTTTTGCTTAGATTGTTGACGCTGAATTTCAGCTATTTTGTGCACCTGGTTTGTACAAAAGTATGAGAACTTCTTACACTTCAGCATTTTGCTAGCTGTTTTCAGCTTTAAGTGGCCACTCACACCCCTGTATGTTGAAATCAATACCACATGAAACAGCTTTTCGATCCTTTTTCACAGTGAAAGTAAATTTTTTTTATTCATATTTTACCTTTGCTTTTTACTTGCGATCCGACGTAACACTACATGTAAAGGTATGCAAGAAGACATGGCACGCCATACGGTGTAACATCAACATTTTGTATACCATCTTTTCAGGTGCCGTGCACTGTTTGTAAATTTGTGATTTGGCTTTTTCTGGAGAAGGCCAAAGTTGCATGATGGCAACATACATTTAGTTGTCATAAATTCTGCACTGTGTACAGTAGTTGATATCTGTACCTTCCAGCGCTTTACTTGTTCTGGGTCACACTCATCTTTAGAAGCAGTGTTTTGGTCTAGTTACTCAAGTAACCTGAATGCTCCACCAAGTTCAGCAGTTTAGGAACAATAAATGCCGTGCTCTGATTCCGTTGCTGTCCTGTCTGTTGCTTTGTAGATTTGCCAACAGTCTACCCATGAATGATCCACTTCAGACCCTGTATCAGCTCATGTCAGACAGGCAACCAGCCGCTGTCACCGTGAGTTGATTGCCTTTGTTCAACTTCACGACCACGCCCTCTTTTTGTAATAGATTTGGCGAGAAAAGTTTGTTTGACTTCAGGCCATTCAAGTGTGTGACACAAGAGGGGGGAATTGTATTACACGTACATGTATCTCTTACGTCCTTGGAACACATGCTTCAAAGCTGCCCCAGTTTGCCAGATCCCATCCCAGTGCAGAAAGCAAGCAGCAGTATTTTTAACAGTTTGATTGAATTTCCCTAAGAAATGAATTGGTTGACTGTGTGGTCCTTCATTCAAACCAGGTAAATTGGTATGTGTACCAGACCACATTCTGGTTGTTTCTTGTCAAGCTGTTTGTGGCTGAAGTAATTTCCACTGTAAACAGTTCAGCAGTGTTGTAGTCGAGCCCATCACCAGTCATTCCATCTTAACCAATTTACAAGATATTCAAATGTACTGTGACAAAAGCATTTGTTTGTCATTGTTCACTCTGCTTCTTACGACTGGTCTGGTGTGAAAGGACTTGTGGTGGACTGGACTACAACACCGCATTTTATTAAATTAATTGGAATGGCTGTGATACCTTGATTGTCTTAAGTGGGCTATTTCCCATGTACAAAATTTTGTGCTGTTTGCCTTTGGTCAGTTAATATACATGTTGAGTATTGAACCAAGTTCTGGAATTTTTCTACGCCTTGTTTTTTGGGTTTGTTTTGCTTGAAGAGTTGCGCGGATGAGAAGTGGGGTGACTGGAGACCTCATCTGGCCATGATCCTGTCCAACCTCAGCCAGGACTCAGAACTGGACCTCAAGAGCATCGTCACACTGGGAGATTCTCTCGGTACGAAATTCAGCCAGCTGTATCATAGTAGCTACAGCCTGTGTGCGGAGATCAAAATTCAAATGTCCAGTTAGATTCAATTTCTTTCTAATGGTTCTTAAAGGCATAAGTGGATATATGTTGGGACCCTGTGGTTTGCCCATTAAGGCCACATAAGGGCATTTGCCATTTATATAGAACACAAGAAATAGGTATTTCAACCCCTTCGCTATGGAGTACTGCTACTACAGCACCATTGTGTGAGCATATAGTGCATACATGTACCACACATACAGTCCATTCACCATGCAGCTGCTGGTTCATTGGGGCGTGCTGCTGGACAAAGCTCTCCATTCAGGGCACACCACAGCCCAGCAGTCGCGGTCAAAATAATCCTGCTGTGAAGGGTTAAGGGTTGCCTTTAAGCAAAAACAAATGTATACCACAGTCTGCATGCTGTTGTCTAGCCCACAAAAATGTTGGTGATCATTTGTTGGATAGTTCATTTCCACCAATCTCACTCCTGATTTACTCGTGATGGAAAGGTTTTTGTGCTAAAAATTCCTTAACTTTAGCATGTGGAAGTGTTTCGTACTTTCATTGCCAGCTGGTGTACTTGTGTTATTTGTAGAAATTTTGAAGACATGTCAGAATTACGTTGCAGTTCTGTTCAGTTGAAATTCCGAATTATTCACCTGTTGCTTTCCAACGTCTCCACACAACCCTTTCTGTAGCTTCCCGGGGTCTGCTGAAGGCGGCTCATTTTGTGTACCTGATGGCCCAGGTGGGGTTCGGTGTCTACAGCAAGAAGACAACCAAGATGGTGCTGCTGGGTGCTAGTCACAGGTATAGTGAGCCTGGGGGGGGGAAGGGAAGGGGAAAGGAGGGGAGGAGAGATACATGTAGATAGGTTCGACTGATCACCAAATTTCAGGTTGTCTTTAGACCCTTGTCGTCCTGTTGAAAGCAAGTCATTCAGTTTCTTGAGAATTGCCATTAAGACAGTGCTCCCTGTCATCAGCCAGCTGTAGTTGATGTGGCATTCAAGCCGCGTCGCCGATAATGTAGGCTGGTTTGACATTTGATCAGCCGTTACTGTCATTCGCTGGGTACTCATAAGAAGGCCCCATGGTTTATGCAGATTCCTACGGAGATTGCTTCACTTGACGTATGCAAGCGCCGTTGTGCATACTCTGTCAGCTTGACTGGATATTATGGTGTTTAACAGGAGATAATACAACCACACATCACAAGGTTGCTGTAGAGATCCTTCAATGGTACAAGTCAAAATGTTGGAAAAATACAGTGTTAATGGAAAGAGTCGCTCTGAGAGATGGCTTGGAGATTAATTGATGCTTGTCGTGTACATGGATGCAGTTGTCACCAGTCTCATGTTCCTTCTTTTCCGCCTCACTTTTGACCTGAATTACATCGGCAAGATGTTTTACCGCTTTAAAGTTTGTTTTTTGGCTTAGAACCATCCATCACCAGACGACTGCCTCGTTCATGAGACAGGCAGTCTGCAGTGTTCCTGTACCTTGACAGTAATTCTCTCTTTTTGCAGTCTTCCCTTCAAATCGTTTGCCCTGAATGAGTGCATACAGCAGACGGAGATCTACGAGTACGCGCAGCTGCTGTTCAATAAACAGTACACCATCCCAAATTACCAACCCTACAAGTTCATCTACGCTACTCGGTTGGCTGAGCATGGGTTCACCGCACAGGTACACTGAACATTCTGGCAGGGGTTTTCTTTTCTTAGGGTAGAAGGGGTGTCTGGGAAGGGGGGGGTTCCAAAGGTTTGGTTGTCAGAAGAGGAGAGGGCAGACAAACATTCAACATTCCACATCCAACTGTTCATTCTACAATCATTGGTGATGAAGAATACGGCCGTTTACAATAGTGCTCCACCAAGAGTTTGCAACACGTTGGCCAATCGCAATGCGCCAAATTTGTCGACCCAAGGCGCATTTGAAAAGGGTCGACAAATTTCGCGCGTTATGATTGGCCAACGCGTTGCGAACTCTTGGTGGCACACTATTGTGAATCGCCCATATTCAATGGTGCCTTTATTTAAACAAATGTTGCTGTTGGTCAGTTCCCCATTGGATGCTGAACAGATAGACAGAAAACACTGGTGATGTTTTTACATCAGTGCAATGTAGCCTGGATTTGGAGCCTGTTTCTATTTTCATTGAGTTTCTATTCTACTACTAGAATGTTTAGGATGGCTAGATGTATGAAATGTAAATGAGATTGAAAAGAATCAATTGTGGCAAATCAGACCTCTGCAAAATTCAATTACTACTAAGCTGAGATAGCAGTGTGTAGCTTTCTTAACCCTAACTCCCATGGTTGTGTAAGATCATATTGGAATCAGGGGATATAAAAGCCCTGTTAAGATTAAACGTAGCCATCGGGATTCCTATGAGTTGACAATGTAGGTTTCAGGAATGATTGTAAAAAGTTTGGAAGCAAGGAAACACCTGTTTGCATTGTGCATGGTTGTTTTTCAGTTTAAAAAGGCAATGCAAATGAAGGAAAAGTGTTAACATGTTGACAACAGTTTTGATATTTTAGAGTAGCAAAGTAGAATTGATGTCTGGTGCTGTCTAAATGATGTGCTGTATAACATTTACCGGCATTGCACTTATTGATTTATTCAGGAATAAACATACATACACTATTGCACGCTGGAAATAGGTGCTCCGTGACCAAAACTTATGTGAGTTTGTAAGCACTTGGCATGTGGTGTGTATGTCCATTAGCCAAATGATGGATGGGAGAATTCTTCTTTGGGGCTTTGCAGGCTGTGAGTTACTGTGAAGAGGTGGCCAAAGCTGTGGTGTACATGCCCAGTCTCTACAGCCCCACACTAGTCAGCCAAATCTCTCAGGTGAGGAGCTATCCCTGTTTTACCTGACATTCTCAAAATATAACTTAGAGAAGTCAGAAGAAAACTGATTGTATGGGAGAGGCATTTTGGACAAGGTTTAGAGATGACCATACTCTAATCAAATGATTCAGATGTTACTCCAATGATGGATGGTTAGATTTGTCTAGTCAACTGTGGAACCAGGCCGGAGAAATGGATGTATTACTGGTTAATAATCCAGCTTGCCTCATAATCGAGTACTGAGTGAATCATTGATGTAGATAGAAGTATGCTGACTGGGGTCATTCAAGTCTTACTGTGTTCTGTTAGGGCATTGGTCAGAAGGAATTGACTTCATCATTAAATTGTGCTGTAACTTGCTCTTGATTAAATGCACTTGGTGACATACACTGAGCTGAAATTCAATGCTGAATGACTATGATGGTAACTTCCCAGTCCGTCTTTCAATTTGCCTCCGTGCAGTGGCACATGTTGCATACTTTGTAATGCTAACATTCCAAATTTGTGCAACGTTTGGACGTGGCATTTCACAAGGGCGGACACCGAATGTAAAGGTTGCTTTTTCCTTGTGATTGCACCCTTTTCTCAACCTCTCCTACCTTGCAGCTTGCCAATCGCCTGATCTACCACGATGATCGATACTCTGATGGCCTACAGACTGCTGCTCCTGATTGGCTGAACAGACTGCAAGACATATTCAACCAAATGAATGTAAGTGCCTGCTAATTACAGCAGGCCTCTAGTCATTGAAAAAAAAGAAGAAAGCTTCAGTATTTTGAGCATTTTAACTGTGTGCAATTCACACACAATTTGATATAACTGTTAGATATAATAATATAATGTTTGATATAACATTAGATGGTAGCTATTTATTGGTGGCTTTTGCTATTCAGGATGGTCAGATTCTACCTTCTTCCTCATCTGGTACCCCGATGCCTTGGGTAGAGTCCTACAGTAACCTCAGTGCTGTGGACAGCAGCAGTGTGGACAGCGGTGGGCCTACCTTTGAAGTGCCCAGCACGGAAGGCAAAGAAGCTCAAGCCGCAGGTAAGCTGGACTTAGATTTCGTACAGAGTGTAGTCCTGAGAAGCATTGTTCAGCTGTTGCTACTGTATGCAGTTTACTCACCAAAGTCACGTCAGGGTATGTTTGAACCCAGGACGGCTTGCTCTTGGAGCTGGCATTAGCACACAAACTGGCTTAAAGATTGTATTGAGACCTGTTGTCTGTGGCTAGGTCTAGGTCTTCACTCCATTGGAAATATGCAGGACTCAATGACAACAGCTCTGGAAGCCATATTGGAAATGGCCTTAGCATAGAAATTACAAGTTGGACTAATACAGGGCACCAGCCAAAATGCTGTGAGGTGTTTGTTGTCCTTGATTGGTCCCCTACCGGCTTTTGCTTAGCTTGCAGAGGCAATCAGAAGCATTTTCTGGTACAAGAAACACATCTTCAAGATTGTTTGCTTTGTACTGATTATGTTCTGAGTGTTTTCACTTTGTGGGAGGGGATTTTGTGGATTCATAACATTTTTTGTTTATGATTGCACAGATGAAAATTGAAAGTTTGCCGCCTGCATAAATAATTCCTTGAATCGCAATGCAGAGCAGAGCTTCTTGCACAAAATATTAGTAAATTCTCTTCATGAAATCATTGTAAAATGAATAAGATAAATAGGATTCACGCTAACATTTTGTAGAGACTAAGCACAATCCAACAATGCTTGTCACTTGTCACCTGCTCCAGTCAGTTGCATATCAAAGTCACTCAGCATTAAATATCAGTACCATTTTGCTCTTTAATACTCGCAGTTGGTGACTACACTCTGACTGCAAGTGGCTACTATCAGCCGGCAGCATCAGCTACGGGCTCCACAAATGACGGCACTCAGAATCAGCTTGGCGCATGCAGCTATGACCAACAGCAGCAGCTACCTCAGGAGAGTGCAACTCCCATGGCGGCGCAGTACCCAGAGAGCTACACGACGTTTGGTCAGCGGCACCAGCCGCTCTCATCGCTCCCCCAGGGCCTGGACCCGGGAGCCTCACTGACCAGCAACTTCTCGGAGTACAGCGTGACCAGCCTGACCAGCGCTACCTCGGCCGGGGAGTCGGGCACAGAGTTCGAGGAGAGTGGAGCGTCCAAGGCATCGTTTGGCTACTATGCTCCCGGGCCAAGAAGCGTAAGAACCGTAGACATCATAAAACCTAGACTGGACATGTCAGCTCAAAAGTGATGCTTGTGTCTGTTGTGCAGAGAATGATGAAATGCTCGTGCGTGATCACTCAGTGTGAAGATAGTCGATCCTCATCACAAACATAAGTGAAGGTGTGATCAATACATAATTTGTGGAGGTCAGTGGTAAAAATGACCCTGAACAGATTTCATGCACATAGCGCAACCAGCTGTTCCAGGATTCATTCAATTTGTATTCTGCCCTGCTGACCATTACGAGCATTGGCCAACAAAACTTTTCCAAGACCTTGATTCTCTTAATGTCTTCTTTCCTGGGCATATGCTGCTGCAGGCCATACTGTCATCTAGAGCTTCTAGTCTGATGTTTTGTCAAGATCTGTTGAGTGTGCAGTCCTTCCAGTGTTGAAACAATAACTAAACGATTGATCTAACCATGTGGAGACAAATGTACAATCTCTGCTGCTGTTCCTGGTAGATATTCACCCCTACCACAATACTTGAACACGTAGAAATTTAATTCAGCTCACATGAGAAAAGCCTGTTTTATTTCTCTGAGTTCGTCTTGTTTGGCACGCTTGTGCCCTGTCCCGGTTGACTCGTCTGCGCAAATGCATTCCAAGACAATGATTTTACACAAACAAAAAACTGATGTACTTTTGCTTGCACGTAATGAAAGGGACATGTCCTGTCTAGCTTTTATTAGATGTGCATGATAAGAACATAAATTGCTACCATGTATGAAGAAGCTCGTTCGCCCATGGATCCTGTCTTTCATTTGGCATGGCACTTCTGGTGTCGTGCTATGTGTACACGTACTTACATGTACATGTACACGTAGCAGGGTGTATTTACACTGTGACTGTGTTCCTCAAAGAAAGACTATACTGCAGCCACCATTCCAGAAGGAATGATACAGTCACCAACTAGAGTATTCCACCATTAGCAGCCAGAGTGACAACTTTGTGCGCACTCGGGCATGCTGTGGTAATTGGGCAGGCCGTCGCAATGAAGCAACTATAACATTTTGAAAGTAATTGCAAGTTTTAAGAAAAGTTGCCTACCATAAATAATTTTCAGTTAAATTAAAAGTAAGGTCACTCAATGACATAAGAAACATTCATGTTTCCTATTCTGCCCAAGTATGGAGAAAAAGACAGCTCGACTAATTTCTTTGTAAGGCCATATGTTCCGGTAGTATTATTACACCACTCAAAGGAGTCAGTGTATATACATGTATGCATGTCCAGCTGTCAACATACGTGTACACTGGTGTTAATTACATGTGATCAATGATGCAATATTGGTATTGCATGCTCATGGACTTGCACAAGAGCTGGATTCTGTGGAGATGCATCAGTACATGTACATGTCACCCCAACCTCTTAAGAGGTTCTCTGCAGACAATTTAGAAGGGTCTGGACATGCCAAATACTATGGACCACTGACAAATGAAAACACAATTGAAACAGTCTTGAATTATGAAAATGTATTCCACCAAAGCCCCTACTATTGTCACAAATTATTCACAACTGGTCAACGATAATGAATAATGGGTTTGCGGGTACACTGGCCGAAACGTCCAATTAATACTAGCCGGTTCTTTTAAGAACCACACCTCGCCAAAAAGAGATTGATTCCAAGTTTTCAGAAAAGTTGCCTACCATAAATAATTTTCACATATGAAAATGTATTCCGAGCCTCTGCGACAGTAAAACTGTACAGATTATTTACGAGTTTAAAATGTTCCCTATTTCAAAATGCACCTACAATTTTCAAAGTATCAACAGAATTTGTGTCTCCTAAATTTTCAGTTCCAATCAATCGATGTCACATGTAAGGTTTAGGAATTCTTATTTGTCTTGCCTTCCTCGCTTTTTGTTATCACACGTCTGTGAAACTGATTCTTAGTTGTCGAATCCCTGAAGTTCTTTAGTTTACACTTCAATTTAATACTCCTTTGGTTTGTCAAGAGTACCAAAATCTTTTAAACCTTCAAAACTACAAATCTTTCTCGTTTGATTTAGGAAATGTGCTGAGGAAATTCCGGGCATGCAGGATACCAACAAAAGTTGTAGTCGTAGGCTGTTAAGGCTTCAGGCTGACAGGATAAGATTTCTTGAAAAACACTTCTACGTGGACCACAGGCAAATCGATCCTCTCGCAACTAGGTCTGGCGAACAACCCTCAGTAAGGTTGTGCCGTTGAATAGGTTTTTCCTGAATTGGACCGATATCCTAGCTTTCGCAGCCATAAGATTCTGCTGGCTGACAGGATGAAAGCATGTCGCGTGTTTCTTCCACATTGTGGCAAAACAGCAGTTCTGCAAATTTGGGCCCATGTCCTCGAACAAGTAGATACATTTCACACAGTGGGAAACGCCCAGCCTGACTTGGGGCCATTTGATTGATTGGGTTAATGATTGGACCTGGGAGTTTTACTCCCGAATTAAGGGCTGATGAATGGGAGAGTGTTGTGATCAGCAAACATCATCTGTCATGCAACGATGGGTGCCATTATGACCAAGTTAATCATCAAAAGCTGCTTCACTCTGAACACTCTCAACTGTTATAAAGGTGCTTCACCGGTGTGGGCAATGTAACTACATGTATGAAAAAACTGCTGAGGGCTTAATGGAGTAGAAGGCCGTTGTATATGTACCAGTTATTTGGTCAAAAACTGTTCTGATGAAACAATTGATGCATGAAAATAGCCTACCGGTGGTACTCTTGAAGTTTGAAAATGAAAAGCTAAACTTACCAGATAACAGTAGATCAGTCAAAAAGGCCCCCTCTCCAAGCTCATGCAGCCTGTTGTGACTGTTGCCCTTGTACAACATGTAAATGTAGTGCACGGGTGCAGGCCCTCCTATAGTTCTTGTTTTGCACTATGCACTGCCTTACCTGTGGCAATACATTTTGATCATGCTCTCTTCTTTTGAAGAGTTTTATCGCCGTGCGGGCAAGATTGTGGGGAAACGGCATGTATTACATGTACAAGCAAAGATTGCCATGTTGCAGCGTGCACGCCAGGCCAACAGCCCAAAAAAATTACCGTTATAAAACAACTGCCACACCATTGTAGGCCCAATTGTGTCATTGTGATGCTGAATTCGATTAAAGTACAGCCAGACTGTTAGGACCAAGTTTGGTCCAAATCATTTGTCAGCCGTTCGGAGATTTTTGAAGCTGCTTAAAAACGGTTTAAAAATAGTGATTTTGTCCCGCATATAGCATGTACCATTGTACATGTATTCTTCACATGTATTTGCTAACAAAACATTTCTGATGTTTTCTTAAGTCTCAAAGAGAGTAGAGTTTTAAGGCCTTTTGTCCAGGCTGACCAAGGCTTTTGCAAAAATGGAAGTGTCGTCATCAACCAATTTACATATCCTGCACAGTGCATGTTAAACGATGACATAGGAGAATGATGATCTGCAGACACAAAATTCTTGATTTTATTAGTCATTTTACGTCATAAACCAACATGAAAAACAGCAAGAAGAAGTACTGCTTGGAACTTTGAGACATCATTTATATGGTAAAAAAGTTATTTCCACTTTTCAACTCCTTTCTAGTGCATCTTGAATGTATCTTTATAACATATCAGGCACCCGGTGTCTACTCTTTAGTATCTAATGAATTATTATGTTTGACGTTATTGCTTCCCTAGTGGTTAGTGGTTGTCAGGGACTGTCCAAATACTGTGAATTGCTGTGAACACAGTAATAAGGCCCTAGTCTCCTTAATAATCCAATCAATCATGATGCAGTTTGTCAGTGTTTAGCCCCTGTGTACCGGGTAGCTTGGATGAGTACTGTCTCTTCTGCTGCCTAGTAAAAAAAAATCACAAAAACACAATTGGAATCACTGTACAACTCTTTGAGTTTACTGAAGTTGTGGCTGTCGTGCAGAACTGCATAGACTGGTCAAAAGAACATGTGTACTAAATCTGGATGCTTTGGGCAATCATTTCATGCAGCGTAGCCAGGCTGATGGCTAGAGCCGCATTGGAGACACTAGAAGCATTGGGCCAACAAGCTTGCAGATGCAGACGTCTTCTGTTGTGCCGACAGTCAGATATTCTGTGGCATTTTAATACAGCTATGGATCTGCAGACAACAGTAGCGCCAGCCACAGGGGTGCCAGACTCCTTCCAGTCCACCTGGCTCCTGTTTTGGGTTGATATTTCTATTTGCATTGTGGGAGTGATTGGAAATCTCGTTGTTGGTCTGACAATCCTCAAGAGCAAAGCTTTGCACACCCTTACCCACTATTTTCTCCTCAGTCTTGCAATGGCCGACAGTCTGGTGTGCATCACTGGCATGCTGAATGTGTTGTGTAAGGATTACAATCTGAAAGAGGAAACTGAAGTGCTGTTTATGGTGGCTGGTTATATGGAGAGATCTTCGACTGGGCAGTCAGCACTGGCTCTGCTGCTGGTCACCTTTGAAAGATTCATAAGTATCGTTCAGCCACTACGTCACTGCAGTTTCTTTACCAGGAGAAAGGTTACCCTTCTAATCGTACTTGTTTGGGTTCTGCCTCCATTTATAGAAGTGTGGGGAATGATTTGGTACGTTGTGCAAAAACAAAACTGTGCAGAGAATTACTCACGTGAATGTGACCCATACCCCCATGGAATCATTTTCCCAGTCATGAATGCCCTGCTTCTGTTTGCTGTGCCAGCTGCGGCAATGATCTGGATGTACATTCAGATTTTGAGGAATCTCAAGCAGAGCGCCCGTAGAAGGCAGAATCTTGGAATCCAGGGTCCCAATGAACTGCAGCTAGCCAGGCAGAAGCTGATCCATGCCCTGCTGCTGGTCATCCTTGCATTTCTTGCCCTCATTATGCCTGAGAAGGTCATGTACATTGTGTCAATGGCCATTTACCTTGACACAGAATATCTGCCCTTTCTTCAAGTTTCAATGATCTTGATGCTGGCTAACTCAGCAATCAACCCTGTCTTGTACGGACTCAAGTATGACAAGTTCCAGCAAGAGATAATATCTGAACTGTGCTGTTGGTTAAAGACCTCTAAAAACCAACCAGTAGCGCATACATGTATCAAGAGAAATGTGGGACACATAACAGTTCCTCAGCAAGTGAAGTGTCAAACTACAGCCACATGCCACGAAAGTTGTGTTTAGAATCTTATTCCATGTTTTTGCTACAGTAATTTGTGTATTTTGCAAATACTGTAGTGCATGTTTTGGTTGGCCAGTCCCATCATCTAATCTGCCAATTTCTGCTGGCGTTGTGTCACCTTGAGAGGTTCTAATTGTTGAAATTGGAAATATTGCTCCTACGACATTGGGCTTGTATACATGTACATGCATTTTTTGTTCACAAGTTTTCCTTGTCTGAACTAAGGATGACTGTGAAGTGAAAGATGTGTCTGGCCAGGGAGTGTATTCCTGTTGATGGAAGCGCTAGGGACATGGGGTGCTAGGATTCCAGTGCTAAGATGCACTTTTCGATAATAAAAACGGTACCAGTACTTGACAATCTGTGAAACCTACGCTACGTGTACGTGTATGATCTATAAGATCTACAGCCAGGAGTCATTGATAGTTACATGTACTCTGCACGGAGAGTTGTAATGGAATGAAGTGGCTTGATTCATCCTTGGATGATACACTTTTTGATGAGACCATTTTCCTTCAGTGTCATGGGAATCCAGTTTTTCATGCTGGAGTTTATTATCAATATAGCAATGTATTTTGCAGGTAGAGATTTAATCTGACAACAAATCTGCACTGCTTGGTGTCACAAATTTTACCATTAAAAAATGTTAGTGCAGAGCTTGTAAAACAGGCGCATCATGTCGATGTCTTACATTTTGTTAAAAACAAGTTTAGCTATGAAAGAAAAAATTGTCATCATAATATGAGTGATTTATCAAGCACCTGATTTTCTGCCTTGCAGTATAGCTCCCAACATCTGTTGTCAGAGACTGGCAAGAGATTAATAACTGATCACCCCCCTCCCGTATTTTTCTTGTTCAACACTAATAAGGCCCCGGCCTCTTTAATATACAGCACAGATCAATCATGATAAACAGCTTGTCATTGCTCTACCCTAGTAGAGTTAGAATAAGAACTGTCTTTTTCACCCCAAAAAAAACACAAGGTATAACTCCACTGACATCAGTGCATGCCTCTTTGAGTTTATCAAAGGTATCAAGCAGAGTTTTGTAGACTCAGGAAAACAACAGCTATCAACACAACAGTGGATGCTTTGAGCAATCATTCCTAGGCAGTTGAGCCAAACCAATGCAGATTTGCTGATGGACTATGGCAATCATCCCTGCTTTTGGCTGGAACCACATTGGTGTATGGGGAGACTTTGGTCTGCAAATGTGCCATGTTAATAGCAGTTGCATGAGTATTGTATGTACTGAAGGACTGAACTATTGTGGCATTGTTTTGAAACAGCTATGGATCTACAGACAACTTCAGAACCTGTCACATGGATGCCTGGCTCCTTCAAGGCCAGCTCACTCCTGATTGGTATTGATATTTCTATTGGCATTGTGGGAGTGATTGGAAATCTCGTTGTTAGTCTGACAATCCTCAAGAGCAAAGGTTTGCACAGCCTCACCCACTATTTTCTCCTCAGTCTTGCAATAGCTGACAGTCTGGTGTGCATCACTGGTATTCTACATGCGTATGTCATAACTGAATATAACAATCGCACACAGGGGGCGGAAGTGCTTTATATAGTTTCTGGTTATATGAGAAGATCTTCGACTGGACAGTCAGCACTTTCTCTGCTGCTGGTCACCTTTGAAAGATTCATAGGTATCGTTCGGCCACTGCATCACTGCAGTTTCTTTACGAGGAGAAAGGTCACCCTTCTTATCCTGTTTGTTTGGATTGTGCCTGCTTTTATAGAAATTTGGGGAACGATTTGGTATATTGTGCGAAGGGGAAACTGTGCAGAGCATTTGTCATCACTTGGATGTGATCCATACCTTCCAGGGTTCATTTTCATAGTCGTTAATGCCCTGCTGCTGTTTGCTGTGCCAGCTGCGGCAATGATTTGGATGTACGTTCAGATTTTGAGGAACCTCAAGGAGAGCGCCCGTAGAAGGCAGAATCTTGGAATCCAGGGTCCCAATGAACTGCAGCGAGCTAGGCAGAAGTTGATCCATGCCCTGCTGCTGGTCATCCTTGCATTTCTTGCCCTCATTATGCCTGAGAAGGTCATGTACATTGTGTCAACGGCCATGTACCAGGACTCAGAAAATCTGTCAATCCCTGTACTTTTTCAATTTGCAATGATCTTGCTGCTTGTTAATTCCACGGTTAACCCCATCCTATATGCACTCAAGTATGACAAGTTCCGGGAGGAGGTAATATCTGTACTTTGCTGTAGGTTAAAGACTTCTGGGAACCAACCAGTACCAGATGTCAAGAGACATATGGGACACACACCAGTTTCTCAGCAAGCAAAACATCAAGCCACACCCATGTGCTATGAAAGTTGTGTCTAGGATCTTATTCAGTGTTTTTGCGACAGTAATTTTTCGCCTTTTCAAAGTAGTTTGAAACAGAGTTTATGGTTGAGTTGGTGAAGTACATGATCTAATCTGCCAATTTATCTTGGAATTGTGTCACCTGGAGAGGTTTTAATTATTTATTAATGGTGAAGAAATTACTCTGTTGACATTGGGCTTTTACATGATTTTTTTTCTCCCGATCTGTTCTAAAGGAAAACTGTAAAGTGAAGATTGTGTCTGACCAGGGAGTTTATTCCTATTGACGGAAGCACTAGAACATGGCGTACTAGGATTGCAGTGCTAAGATGGCTAATGCAGTGCTTTACAATACTGAACGGTGTTCTAGACAATCTGTGAGACCTCTGTGTAATGACCTACATGTAATAAGTCCATAAGCAGGAGTCCTTGATAGAAATTCTACATGGAGAGTAATAGTAGATTGAAATGGCTTGATTATAACTGGATGCACTGTTTAATTAAGAGTTTTCTCCTTTCATATCATCAGGAGTTGAAATTATCTTCAATGTCTTGGTGGCCCGCAGGGCCAGTGGGGAACTGCACCGCGCTGGTCCTTGTGGAAATTCAGTGGCCCAGGTTGAGTACATGTAAGAAATTTGATCAGGCCCACCACACATGCCCATTTGCATCAGTGGAACTTCTCTACCAACACAGCTGACAGCCAGCCTGGCTGGACTTAAATACACTTTTTAAGACCAAAAAACCAGTTCTGCTTGTGGTTATGTGACAGATTCTAAATTTTTGGCATGACCGTAAAATTTATTTTGGTAAGTAAATAGAAAAACACATTTAAAACTTAAAAAAAAAAAAATGAATAAAAATCCTGTCTTCACAAAACACCTCTCAACAATTTTTCACATCTGAAAGCTTGTTTAAATTGTTTGCATGCATACCGTACATTTGCCACATTTGGAAAGAAAGTTCTGTTATTTTCACAAGTTCCTTTGTATTTCGCTATTGCAGTGGTGAAAACACACAAGCAATTATTGCCCATTCACTGTACCACTGCCAAAGAAGGTATGACGGTAACCCTGCAACCAGTCTATGCAACCTGCTCAAAATAGCATTGTACAACCCACCATACACCCCTGCAACTTGGCAGCTGCACATTGAAAAAAAAAAGGATGTCGCAGGAAGATTTCTACAAGTTAATTCCCAGAGCTCGATCTGTTGTCTGTATATATGTATTTTTTGTGTTCACCAATTGAATTTGAGGTTATATTGCTTGTGCTTAACAATCTTGACAGGACACGACCTGTAAAGGTTTTATTGGTGTCTGTGGGAGATAACCTTAAACTGGCATTGTTAGAAAATGGTACCAGCCAACATACCAGGGCAGGTGCCTACTGCACGTGTATGAGCTGTATGCACAACCATTCAGTGAACAGAATGTCACACCACTATGTGTGCGTGTGGCACATGAGCCTGGCAGCGCAGACTGTGGAATACGGCCATTTCACAAGAGTGCGCCACCAAGAGTTTGCAACGTGTTGGCCAATCACAGTGCACGAAATTTGTCGACCCAATGCGCGTTTGAAAAGGGTCGACAAATTTCGCGTTATGATTGGCCAACGTGTTCCCAACTCATGGTTGCGCGCTATTGTGAATCGCCCGTATCATACCGTGAACTCAAAAGTGTCGCGCCGGTTGTTTGAAACACGAGTTGCAAAATGTGATGAAAGTCTTAAAAATGTGGCAGTGTTCCTCATATGACCACTGTCCCGCCGGGCCATCGTTTTGGGAAAATGCAGTGGCCTGATAAATTTTTTGGAGGCACTGTGCTAGCGGACCACCGTTAATTTTGACCCCTGAATTCATGGGAAGTCACTTTTTCATGCTGGAATTTTCAGCAACATCACCATGCATTTTGGAGGTAGAGATTTTATTCTTAAAGGAATGCTGCATTGAAAAGCGTCAACAATTTTGCCATTCAAAAGTGTAGGTGTAGTCAGTATTTACTCTCATTTACTATTGCCATTCCAGGTCAGTCATCAACTACACGTACATTCCTGAAATTTATTTGAACAGGACAAGAAGCTGTTTCCTTTAGAGTGTTAAAGTAATTAGAAATTATCCGTTTGGCAGTCTGTTGTCAGTCAATGGGGGTAGTTGTACTGAAACACAAGTAAATGTAGTCGCTGTGTTTTTTTACTGTGTACCCAAATGAAAACTATGCAGAGTAAATGAGGTGTGAATGGAGGAAACCAAAAGCAATGCAA